TGTTCTACTCATGGTTAGTGGTGGTTTGATCCCGGGAAGCTTACCCATATTTGATGGAAAGGGTTATGATGATTAGTGCGTAAAAATGGAGGCCATTCTTGGATTTCAAGAAATTGATGAGATTGTGAAAGTGGGTTTTAAAGAACCACCCAAGAATGCGGATGAAGGAGCCAAGAAGACATACAAGGAGATGAAGAAGCTGGATTGTAAGGCTCGTGTATTGTTGCATCAATGTGTTGCAGCTCCTATTTTTCAGAAGATCTCAAAAGTTGTCACAGTAAAGGAGGTTTGGGAGATTTTGCAAAATGGGTATGGAAATTCTGGGAAAATGAAGAAGGTGAAACTGCAATCTTTGAGAAGGCAGTATGAACTTCTCTCTATGACAAAAAAGGAGACTGTGGCAGAGTATTTTGACAGATTGCAGGTGATTACTAATGCCATGAGAGCATGTGATGATAATATTAAAGACTGCAGAATTGTAGAGAAAGTTTTGAGAACTTTAACCCCACGGTTTGACCACATTGTGGTGGCCATAGAAGAGTCAAGGGATCTTGATGTTATGACACTAGAAGAGCTGCAAAACTCTCTTGAAGCACATGAACAGAGAGTGAATGAAAGGAAGAATGATGAGAAGGTGACTGAACAGGCTCTACAGGCCAAGATGAGTTATGGAAGCAGAGGCAGAAATGGCTGGAGAGGCAGATGTAGAGGAAGGTCCAGAGGCAGATTTGGAGGCAGAAATGGTGGTAGGAATAATGGCAAAAACAATGGAATAGTGGCCCAGGAAAAATCAGAGAATAATGAATATGATGGTAGAGGTGGATACCAGAACAGAGGAAGAGGAAAAGGTGGCAGGAGACCATATGATAAAAGAAGAATTTAGTGCTATAATTGTGAAAAATATGGACACTATTCTTATGAGTGTTGGCAGGAGGACACGACAAAAATGAATCAAAAAGAAGAAGAAGCAAATATGGCACAAGAAGAAGGAAATGGGTCTGATTCAGACCAAGTACTATTGATGGCAACAACAGGCAGTGAAGAGGATAGAATGTCTTGGTACTTGGATACTGGGTGCTCCAATCATATGACTGGAAACAGGAATTGGTTGATTGACCTCAATCCATGTGTGAGAAACAATGTTAAATTTGTAGATAATAGCTCCATTGTGGCAGAAGGAATTGGAAAGGTGATGATTACAAGGAAGGATGGCAAGGTGGCCTACATGAATGATGTTCTATACGTCCCACACATGAAGAATAATTTACTCAGCCTGGGACAACTTTTAGAGAAGGGTTACACCATGAATATGCAGCAGAAATTGATTGAGATTTATGACTCACAGCAGAGGCTCATAATTAAGGCACCATTGTCCAAGAACAGGACGTTTAAAGTGAATTTAGACACTACTGAAATACAGTGTCTAGCAGCTGATAATGTGGAGGATGAAAGTTGGTTGTGGCACTACAGATACGGTCACCTGAATTTTAAAAGTTTGAACCAGCTTAGTAGCAAGCATATGGTAAAAGGGCTACCGCAGATCCAACTACCAGCCAAAATCTGTGAAGGATGTGTGATTGGAAAACAGCCCAGAAAGGCATTTACAGACTCTGCACCAAAGAGAGCTAAACAAGTACTGGAAGTGGTGCATTCTGATGTGTGTGGTCCTCTAGACACACCATCACTAGGAGGAAATAAATACTTCCTCACATTTTTTGATGAGTTTTCAAGAAAAATATGGGTGTACTTGATAAAGGAGAAAGGAGAGGTGTTTTCTGTTTTTAACAAATTTTGTGCTCATGTTGAAAGACAGGCTGACAACAGGCTAAAAATCTTAAGGACTGATGGAGGTGGTGAGTACAAGTCTAGTGAGTTCAACAAGTTTTGTGAAGAGAAGGGAATAATGCATGAGGTGACTGCCCCTTATACACCACAACACAATGGGCTGGCTGAAAGGAGAAACAGGATGTTGGTTGATATGACAAGGTGCATGTTGAAAGGAAAAGGTCTACCACATGACTTTTGGGGAGAGGCAGTAACTACTGCTGCCTACATTCTTAACAGGTGCCCAACCAAAAGATTGAAGTTTGTGACACCAGAAGAGGCCTGGTCTGGTGTCAAGCCACAAGTGCAACACTTGAAGATTTTTGGGTCAATATGTCATAGACATATTCCAGATGAGAAGAGAAGGAAACTAAATGACAAAAGTGAGCCCCTGATCTTGATTGGGTACCATCCAACGGGTGCATACAAGTTGTATAACCCAGAAAAACAGATAGTGGTGATTAGTAGGGATGTGATAGTAGATGAGAAAGCCAACTGGAACTGGAAAGAAAAGGAGGAGTTTGTAACACAAATCCCGTGTGTTTTAGAAGATATAACTGAGTCATCAACTGCTGTTTCAACCAATAGAAGGACTCAGAGAACGAAGTTCCCTTCCACTAGGCTTGCAGGACATGAAGTTTATGGAGATGGTATAATTACAAGAGCTGGTGATATAGTTCATCAAGCTTTGATGGCAGACACAGAACCCATAACCTGGAAGGAAGCCTTAAAGGTGAGAGAATGGAAGGATGCTATGAAAGAGGAGATGGAGGCGATTGAGAAAAATAGAACATGGGAATTAGTCAAACTGCCACAAGGTAAATTGCCTATTGATGTGAAATGGGTTTTCAAGCTAAAATTAAAACCTGATGGAAGTGTGGCCAAACATAAGGCCAGATTGGTAGCAAAGGGCTTCCTACAGCAGGAAGGAATTGACTACACAGAGGTATTTGCTCCTGTAGCTAGGATGGAGACCGTAAGACTAGTTACAGACAGTAGCAAGTTATAAAGGTTGGAAGATGGTTCAAATGGATGTGAAGTCGACCTTCCTTAATGGCCCATTGGATGAGGAGGTGTACATTGTACAACCACCTGGTTTTGAGAAAGAAGGGAGAAAGCACCTTGTGTACAGATTAAGAAAGGCCTTGTATGGGCTCAAGCAAGCCCCTAGAGCATGGAACAGGTTGATTGATGCAGTTCTAGCCAAACTAGGATTTGTGAAATGCACAGTTGAATTTGGTGTGTATGTGAAAAACACAAGTCATACAAACACACTCATTGTGTGCTTGTATGTTGACGATTTAATTATTACAGGAAATGAAGATGTAGAGATTGGAGATTTTAAAGAAAAGATGAAGGCTGAGTTTGAGATGACAGATTTAGGAACACTGAGTTATTTTCTTGGGCTGGAGTTTGTACACACTCACAGTGGAGTGTTTCTACATCAGAAGAAATATGCACAGGAGATTTTGAAGAGATTCAAGATGGAAGAGTGCAATGAGGCTGTAATTCCAGTACTGCCTGGAGTAAAACTAACTGAAGAATATGAGGCTGAAGTGGTAGATGGAACTTTATATAAGCAGATAGTAGGGTCACTCAGGTTTTTGTGTAATAGCAGGCCAGATTTGAGCTATGGAGTAGGCTTAATCAGTAGATTCATGCATGACCCCAGAACACCCCATCTGACAGCTGCTAAACACATCCTGAGATATCTAAAAGGCACTACGGATTGGGGAATTTTCTTTCCAAAAGCTGATGAGCAGAATGGAGCACTGTTGGAGGCATTTTCTGTTTCAGATTGGTGTGGAGATAGAGTTGAGAGAAGAAGTACCTATGGTTACTTATTCAGATATTTGAACGCACCAATTTCTTGGTGCTCAAAGAAGCAAAATGTTGTGGCTCTATCATCATGTGAAGCAGAGTACATAGCTGCCTCAGAAGCAGCTTGTCAGAGTGTATGGCTGGAAGAAGTTTTAAAGGAGCTGAAGCTGGAATACACGAAACCAGTTCAGCTCAATGTAGACAACAAATCTGCAATCAACCTATCGAAGAATCCTACACTACATGGAAGGAGCAAACACATTGACACGAAGTTTCATTTTCTTCGTGATCAAGTGAGTAAAGGGAAACTGACACTGACTTATTGTCACACAGAAGAGCAAACAACATACATTTTCACTAAGCCACTGAAGCAACAAGATTCAACAAGCTCAGGAAGAAGATTGGAATGACTAATCTAGGGTTTTGGATTAAGGGGGGGTGTTGACTTTTTTTGTAACCCAAAACCGTATTAAGAAAAACTGTTGAGACTAACAGATTTCTAGGAACAGAACCAAGCACTTTAAATACTATTCATTTTCATGTAAATATTGGTGAATAATAAAGTTGTGATTTTTGAATACTTATCTTTGTAGAATCTTCTCTTCTCTTGTTGTGTGGTTGACACGATCCTTGCAAAATAAGAGAAACGTGATTAGTGAAGCAGATAGGAGATTAATCGGTGGAGAAAGGAGAAAGAAGCTGATCGGTGAAGGAGAAATACCAAGGTTCGAGAGGGTTGTACTGCAGGAGAGAGAAGAAAAGGAAGAGACAGAGTGGTAGGTGAGAGTAGTGATAAGAAGAAATATTTTTTTTCTTCCGCAATTGGGCTGGTGAATAGTAAACGACCCAACACTAATATTTTATTAACATTTGACATGATATGAGTGTGTAAAGCATACAAGAAACATCGTTATATATTTTAAGAGATATTCTATTTTGAATCTCATTTCTACATAAGCTGGCGAAGGAAAAGTGTATTCTAAATACGAGATTTTTTATTTATTTATTGTTTGTTTTGGAAGACCTTGGATTTGTTTATATAAAATTCTCTAAGACGCAATTTTTTTTTCATAAATTAAAATTAATCTACGTATAAATTTCTTTATACCTTACGATAGTATTGATGACATAAAAGTTGAAAATATATATACATGAGAAAGATAAAGTATTAATAGAAAAAAAAATTGAGAGTTTTGGTAGAAAAAAGAAAGAAGGGTGACAGAAAGAGAGGAAGCACACAGCTTTTAGTACGAAACTAAGGCGCATGCTAGGGAAGAGCCAAGTGCTCACTCTCTTCTGTCGCCTCCATAAACATACCTTAACCACTAGTTTCTTAATACCAATGGCAGAAGGAGATGGAGCTTCTGGTTCTGCGACTTGATTTCATGGTTTTGGCTCTCATCATCCATGAATGTATATATAGAAGGTAATGACAAATGCTGACGCTCATAGATTCTCTCTCATTACATCTAATGATTCAATTCTAACTGGTTTTTTCTATGCCAATCTAATAACCAGATGATACATTCAAAATCAACCTACAGGTTATAATTTGTATCTAGGCATGGCAAAGGCGGGGCGGGAGCGGGAAGAGGCGAATTTGACATTTTTTACTATTGCCAAATTAATAATTTAATTATTATTCAATTAGTTCGAAGTAATAAAAATTTAAATTATCAATTCTTTTAATTCTTTAAAATACAATTATTTTATTAAGATAAAATTTGATATATGATAAATAAGAATAATAAAATAAAAAAATATGACATAATAAAACCTAATAAATATAAATTATAAATAAAATAATATTAATTACTACTAAGATTTATGTAAAATATTTAGAAAAAAATAAAAATAAAAAAATTAATTTTGTGTTCATCAAATTGGTTAAAAATATTGAAAAAAAAATAAATTAATGGGAGAAATTAAAGAAATGTGAAAAAACTGAAAGTTAAGATAGAATAATATAATAAATTAATTTATATAAAAGATTAAAAAAGATAAAAAAAATAAAAAGGGGTAGAGAAAAATAAAAATTTGTGAAATATAAGAAAATGATGTAGTAGAAAAAGAAAAGTGAATTGGTGGTGAATAAAATGAACTTTTTCTCTGAGAGGAAATGCATTTATAGATGTTGAAGGAAAACTTTTTGTCACTCAATTCCAAACACACAATGGAAGATTCCAATTTTTAACTGCACTTGTTGTGATTTCTTTGCATCAGAATGTCAAACCGCCAGCAGCAGATAGTATCAGCCGCCTTGGAAGAACTTATTCTAGTTTGGGTTTTGTTCAAGTTAAGTACTTTACATAAAGCAGGTTGGTTCAAGTTTTACGTGTCTATTTCAAGTTAATTAGTTTGCATAAAGCAGGTTGGTTCAAGTTTACGTCTTTAATTTCTTTTTCCTGTGTAAGAGTATGACTCACCTTAAATATCTTACAAAACATTTTGTTTTTCTTCTCATATTTGATGTTAACATGAGATATAAACTTACATGAATTAATTAACCGATATAAATTTATATTAAATATTATAATAATCCATATAAATTTTATATTTTTTAATTTTTAACAAATAAGTTTCAATAAATTTTTAAAATCATCAAAATCATAAACTAAAAGGAAAAGACAAATACTAATATATAAAAAATTTGTCCATATAAAAGGAAATAAACATCCTCTTCTTCTATTTGCTTTTGGGTTTGGATTAAACTTTTTTTTACCTTTTAACTTCTTTCTTTTTTTTCTTTTACTGATTTTTTTAGTGTTTCTTTCTTTTTCTCATCTGAAATCTTAAGTTTTGTTGATTTTTTTTTATTTCTCTAGTTTCTTTTCTAAAAGATAAAAGAAACAAAAAATATAATAATATTTAAAGTTAGTTTTCCTATAATAGTGAATATAAAAAGTAAGGAGAGGAACCCTACACACAAAAATTCCTTGCATATGCGAGGAAGATAAATCTTGAAAGAAATTTAAAACAAATTTAATGCAGAATCATACAAATTTTGTTTTAATTTAAAAAATATCATCATATTTCTGTTACGTATTTATTAATATGAAAAGAAAAAAAAATTGTATTCTAGTGCTTGCATATTGTTTAAGAGAATAGCAATGGATATGAAAAGGAAATAAGTCTTGAGAGAATACCAATTACTTTACCTCCCACCCAACACCCAACAGTTGGTTGCACATTGCACAATTATTGAACCTTGAGGATTAACTCCCTTATGATCACAGCGACATTGAATGAGTCACTCAACATAAAAGAATGTATGGTTTTGGATTTACTCAGCCCGAACAGTACCATAGAGACTTCCCTATTCCGATTCGACCAAATAGTTTTATTGGGTATTTTTCTATTTTCCATAAAATATATGGGATTTAGGATTATTAACCATTCAGTGTGTTGTTGTATTAAATACATTTTAATTTTTAATGTACTTTTCACCCATTACTTTTTATTTCCAGAAGATCCCTTCCAAATATTTAAAACTATTTTCTTTTATATTTTTACGTATTGTTGTCTTCCTTAAATGTTTATATTTTCAATATCTTCTATCTTCATTTCCAAACTGATTTTTTTTTAAGTTATCAATAATTTTATTACAACTTAAATAGTTCGCTCTAAACAATATCTTAAGTATATTTATTTATTATAAATTTAATTTAATATAATTTATATATTACAATATTTTATTTACTATTTAAATTTTCATTTATTTATGATCTATACTATAAATGACACATTTTTTTTTACATGCTCATAGATATATATATAGTTTCAGTATTATTTTATCTTATCTTTAGCTTTGTAATGCTATTCTCTTAGTTTTACAGTATGTGTTTATTAGCTACCTTAAAGGCCACTTTGTAATGGATACTATACAAGCGCGAATACGAAACAAATTGTCATAAATTGTCTTGTAGTAAGAAGAAAAGCTTTATAAGAAGATATATGTACTCGTCCCAATTTGAAAAAGTTCGAGTACCATCGTTCAGTCAGGGAGATAAGTATTACAAATAACATACATGTAAGGTAATATCTAAGTTTATCCAAATATAAATCATCGATTACACCTATTAGTGACTTGAGCGTTAGAATATTTATGTATGTACTTTACCACTGATTTTCCATTTCTACAACAAAGTTTGAATACCGAGAGCCAAAGTAGAGCACTGAATACGAAAGCTGAATATTGGGAACGAAAGTCAAGTACCGAGAGCTAAAATCAAGAACTGAGATACGAATACCAAAAGAGATAACTGTGCATGAAAAGATAAGTTTCTGTTTAACCTTATAATAACAATATTCACGTAGTTTTATGAGATGAAGATATCATTGTTATAAAATAGAAATGGTATCATGTAATGCTATCATTTTAATAAGAAATTAACACATACATACTCTCACTGCATTAAGAAATGTAGGATACATTAATTATTATATGAAGTATATACATAGCGTAATGGATTTCCTACGTATCTGTCTTAAAGTTATCAATTAATTAACCTCAAAAGGTAGTTGTAGAGAAGTGATCTTCTCCTTCTGTAAGTGGTGTGCCAAATAAACATGATCTTGCAGCATAAAAATGTTCTCACATGCATAGCAATGTGTCGAGGAATTAAAGAATATATATATATATATATATATATAATCGTCATCCACAGTCTGTCCCATCATGAAGAACTATGATTGGACTGTGATATTAAGTTATATCAACGTAAATTACTTAGTTAATGGAAGAAGCACCATGCATCATGAGTCACAGATTAAACAATTTGAGTTATTATAATAAAATACAGAACGCGTGCAAAACTGGAAAATCTGGCAAATTGGAGGTTTATATTATATATTTTGGTGCGTCTTAATTCATGAACTTGAAGAGGATTAAACATGTCCATTATATAGAATTTGATAACTAGGAAATCATGCATGCCAGCATAACATCACACTAAGCTAACACGAACTTGATAGGAGATTGATAATATACTATTTGAAGGTTTATTCTGGATCACTTTAATTACATCATTCTCAAGAGAATAGGTGTTTTAAGTGTGTAAGATTGATTTAAATAATGTATGCAAGATATAAAATTAACAGCCTTAATGATATAGCACACAAGTTTTGAATTCAGTCAAACACACGAGCCCACTGAGCAACATGATCAAGTCATAAGTGGTGTTTTTGTATGAATATATAAATGTGACATCTCTGGTATCATTGTCTATAAATTAAGCCTCTATTTACACATTCATCGTGGCCATAGCTTCTTGTATAATTAGCATCCTTGCTCAGGTCTTGTAGTCATTAGTATTAACAATGAAGAAGTCGTGTAGTTTGAGAGGTTATTATCTTTGTCTAATCAATATGTTCATGTTGCTGTTGGTAGTAAGGTCCCAACTGACGACAGATTTCTATAAGACATCATGTCCTAATGTTTCCAAAATAGTAAGGATAGAGGTTCAGAAAGCTCTCATGAATGAGATGCGAATGGGTGCTTCTCTGCTTCGCCTTCACTTTCATGATTGCTTTGTAAACGTGAGTTTAATGAGATATATGCATTGTTGTTTTTTTTATGTGCTCACTTCACTCAAATAACTGTCATTAGGTAGAAAAGGAATAGTCTGCATTATGTATTTGCATGTAGTTTTTAACAATGTCAAAGTCTAATTAGGTCTCTAAAATCACAACCAGAAACACAAGTTAAAACATTGATTTCTCCAAAAGATATTTTATCAATGCAATTTAAGGGGAGTAAGTTGCGCTTAGACTATGATATGTATCAACATAAAAGTTTTGTCAGTAACTGAACCCAAGATTTTTTTTAATTTATCGAATGAAAATGATTTTATATTTATCAAAATACTGTTACTGTTAGGTATTCGGAGTTTTCCAATTAATTACTGAACAAGTTGGAGTCTATAAGTCAAAAGGATTTGAAAAAGTGAATCACCTTCCATTTGAATCTTAAGTTATAGGATTGGAGTAGAGATCTTAAGATCAAATCTCATGTAAAGCATGGAGTAGTTACTGAAACTGAAATATTTATTCTTCCTTCCACCATGGTAATTATTATCTGAGACATATACACCTCATTTTCATTTCTTAAATATTTCCTCCCAACATCATCTTTACGCCTCATTTTCATTTATATCTTAAATGTTTTCCTTTGAACATCATCAGGGTTGTGATGGATCAATACTACTAGATGGGGGTGATGGTGTAGAGAAGTCTGCTATTCCAAATCTGAACTCTGTTAGAGGATATGAAGTTGTAGATACAATCAAAAGCTCATTGGAGAGTGCATGCAGTGGGGTTGTCTCCTGTGCTGATATACTAGCAATCGCTGCCAGAGATTCTGTTTTCCTAGTAATTAAACCATCATTATCTATTTATATTTCTCAATCAGTTTCACGTTTTCCTTTACAAATCCTGGAACATGCATGGGAATTGGAGAAGTGTTTAACTACACCTTTCGTTTCTTAAAACTTTACTATATTTCATTCAGAGTGGTGGTCCTTTTTGGAGGGTTCTTCTAGGAAGAAGAGATGGAACAGTCTCAAACGGAACACTGGCAAATACTGCGCTTCCTTCGCCATTTGATCCATTGGATACCATCATTTCAAAATTTACTAATGCAGGCCTTAATCTCACAGATGTTGTTTCTTTATCAGGTAACATGCAATCACCACTCGTGATTGTTTAAAGAAAAAAACTTCACATATATTAGTGTTATTTTCTGTTCACAACTCCTAAGAAACCTTCTCATACATATAAATCCAATTATACGTGAAGGTGCACATACCATTGGCCGAGCAAGGTGTACATTTTTTAGCAATAGATTGTCCAACTTCTCAGGAACAGGTGCACCAGACACTACACTAGACACTGCCATGCTCTCTGACCTGCAAAGTTTGTGTCAAAATGGAGATGGAAACGCAACAGCAGTTCTTGATAGGAACTCATCGGATCTATTCGACAACCACTACTTCAAGAACTTGCTCAGTGGAAAAGGGCTTCTCAGTTCTGACCAGATTCTATTTTCTAGTGATGGGGCTAATTCAACTACTAAACCTTTAGTGGAAAGCTATATCAACGATAGTGTACTCTTCTTCGGGGACTTCGCCAATTCTATGATCAAGATGGGGAATATAAATCCAAAGACTGGGTCTGATGGAGAAATTAGGAAGAACTGCAGAGTGATAAATTCGTAGTTATATAACATGTAAAAATCAAGTGTTTTCTAGTTATATAACTTAGGTTGTTGCTGCTGTGTTATGTTATGTTACTCAAAATGGAATTTCTAGATCGATGTGCTTTTCAGATCCCACGTAGTAGTGGATGTCAGAACCTACAGACATAATAAGATGATCACTATTTTCTTTATGTTTCAAAGGCCACTAGATTTTTGGTACAGACAGCTTTATAGTTGATCCCATTAAAAATCTCATCTTATTGGTGTTGTTTATCAGTTGAAAGTTAAAATCCCACACTTTATGTTCTAATTCCATTAATCAATCTTGTTGTGAAAAAGAGGACATAAACTTCTACAACTTAAACTTCATTTCTAAAACATGATATTGTTAAATGTTAGATTGATTGGCTTACTAATGGTTAGAGTGTAATTTGTCCATTGCAAAAGTTCTTTACATTTTTTGAATTTCTTTTACAGTCTTGTCTTTTTAAGTTTTGAGTAAAAAATAAAAATAAAAAAATAAAAGGTTGATGTAATTTAGATTGATTTTCGAGGTTAATCATCTCCTTATAAAATGATAATAATTGACATGGTAATTAAGATATCTTCTCAAATTCATTTAGTATATTTTAATAAGTACAAGATTTAACCTTTTTTTTAAATATCAATGAAATTAAAATAATTTTTCTCTTTTTTACTAATTTAATGAAAATAATTATTATAATTTTAAATATAATAGTTAAGATGATTTGTTAACCAAAAACTAAACTGATGAAACCGTCCTAATCATTATGACAATTATATTTTGTGAATTTAATAGATGAGGGAGGCTAGATGGGAAAATAAAAAAATTAGAAAAGAATTATTGAGAGAAATAACCAGACTAAAAATAATTGCCACTATTTAGAAAAATAGAAATTAGACATAGAAAAGAGAGTGGGAAAACCAGTTTCCAAACGTCGTCGTTTGGAGCATTGCTTCTTGTTGATGGCGGAGGAGTTGAAGAACGCACCGTAAGAGAGAAATAAAGGAGCGGCGAGAGTGAAGTTCGAGCAACTAACAATGTACGGTGATGTTACCAACTGGGACGAAAATGCGTATAGGGAAATTGTTCTCAAGGAGAGGGAAAACCAAACGCGAACCGTTTTCCGAACTGCTTGGGCTCCACCCTACGATCTCGACACTCTCCTTGTTGCCTCTAGCGACGGTTCCGTCGCATCCTACTCCATCTCTTCCTCCATAGCTGCCTCTAAGCTAAAAAACGTTAGCATAATCTCAATTCCTTTTTTTTCTTTGTTATTTTATTCAATTCAAGTGCATATCGAATCGATTTTGTTTGGCTTTCACTATCGTTAATTTCCACTACTTGCGATTTTTTCTTCACTGTCGCAGTTAACGGTTTATTCCTTTTTGACGACAAAACTAACGGTTCTTATTTCGTTGTTTTTGCGTTTGTTGCAGCCTTTTGGTTTTGTTAATGCGGATACAGATAAGTATGTTTGGAAGTTTTGCTTAATCTATTATTTGTTTACCGGCCTTAGGGTTAACGGTGTTTCTTGTGCATTGCTATTGGTTTAGGTTACCGGCTCAACCTAATTGCTTTATTCAAGCGCATTGTGGACCTGCATATGATGTCAAATTTTATGGTGACGGTGAAGAGGCTTTACTGCTGAGGTTCAAATTATTACTGAATTCTGAATTTTCTGTTTCTCTCCTACTGTCTTCTCATGATGAACCGCATTAGGATAATTTTCTGCATGCTCATAGTGTGTACATAAAGAGGCTGACTCAAATGTAGGAGTATAAGAGCATGGCATTTGTGTTTGCTGCAGAATGCTTCGGCCGTTCCTTATTTTCTAGTAGTTAGAAGAAGTTATGTTCACCCATTTAAATTTTAAAATTAGAACATTTTGGTTTGTGGTGCTAACTTGTGTGATCTAACCATGCCGCAAGTAAATAGATCTGAATTCCAGTTGCTATGTTGGCATTATCTTTCAGGTTTTTCTTTGATATTTGAATTTGGTATTCTTGTAGCAACTGCAATAGGAGTTGCTTGTATAGTTCTTAATTCTAAGAACCTATTCTTCTGTGGTTCCTCACTGATGGAGTATATTGAGCTGGCAGTCAATTGTAAAAACGGTCTAAAAGATCTGGTTCTTATCATCAAACTATAATTTTTGTAGCAGGCAATCTGTGGCAAAAGAGGAGGGAAAATAACTTTGAATCAGAAGCAGAAAATAAATCAGGTGGTAACTTGAGATACCCACAAAATACAGCACTCTGAAGCGAGGGAAAAAACTTAGATGCCACATAATACAACTGCTTGTCACTGAAATCGTGGAGAAAACTAGCTTTCACATGTTTTCACACCATACCATCATGTCTTAAACTATGTCAAAGTGTGGGAACTGGAAGACTCAGTTGGCATTGTGGCTTCGAGTTAGAGATGAGCAAAATGAGAAATGGAAAGATTTGGGTTCCTGTGATTTGCGTGGGAGGGATTTTGGTGGGAAGGAGGGAGGGGAGAAGGTTTGGAATTTAGGGTGATAGGATATTGATGTGAAGATGAAATTGAAACTGATTGGGAAAGTGAGGAGTGAAAGGGAACCAGGATGTGAAAATGGAAAAAGTATCTGTATCATATATTATCTTCTTTTTCTTTTTCCTGTTTGAAATAAAAATAGGAATAAACAAAAATATAAAGTGTCAGGCAACTTGTCGGCAATTTTAAGTTCTTGGCAATTAATTGCACTATGAGCTAATTGTGAACTTACTGTATTAGGGTTTTGTTTTAAAGAGCGGGGAATGTCTTTATACTGGCTATTTATGTAATTGTGTTTGCATTATAGGTACTAGATGCAAGAACCAAACATATTAAGCAGCACGTGTATTGCCTTAACTGAGGATTTTAATTTACCACTTTGTACAAATTCTGATAGCATTTTATCTTGCAGCTGTGGTGATGATGGTTGGATTCGAGGATGGAAGTGGAAGGAATTTTCAAGATCAAATAATACCGTTTCTTCACAAGGTGATAATGCTTGTTTGGGAATGGTAAATTTTTGGGAAATAATTTTTTTTTTCCAATGCTCTCTCAAGAAGCAGGAAAAAAAATACGCATTTATTTCCTCAAAATAAACTGGTCCAAACACATTAAAGTTGCAATTGAATTTTAAGTTAGTATGAACATTAGTGCATCCATTTTTATCTCTGAAGCAACTTGGTTCTTAATTTTCTTTGTTTCCCCCTAATTACATTGTTTCTCTTATGGTGTGTTTGGTAGAAAAGAGAGAAATAGGATGGATGAAATAAGAAAGAGAGAAATAAAGTGAATAAAACTAGTTGAGAAATAGAGTGAAGATAGAGATGTTTGATTTAAGAAGGAACGAGAGAAATAGGAAAAAAAAAACATTTGAAATAATTTTTTCAACAAGCAATTGATTGTTTAGAAACAATCTATTGTTTTCAAAAAAGCAATTTTGATTCTTCTTTTCACATAAGCTGTCAATTATAAAATTTTATCCAATTAATTATCAACTACTCACAATCGATTATTATTTACATGTATCCACTTTTATTTTTAGTTTCTTTGCTGTTATGTGGAGAAATAAAAGGTGTGGGTCCCATACCTTTTTATTTTCTTTTCTTCTATTTCCATACTACCTTACGCATACCATTTCCTATTTCTCCCTTATGTACACTCTCTCCCTTATTTGTCATGTACCAAACAAACAGTTTGTGTTTTATATTGTTAAAATAGTTGTTTTATATTATTATTGTACAGTTCTGTTAAAGATGATTTTGGGTGTACCTAGCTTTAGGGTTAAAGGCTGAAGCCTTCCTCTTTGTTTTGTACTTGTAATCTCCTCTTATATATATATATATATATATATATATATATATATATATATATATATATATATATATATATATATATATATAATCTCTTATATGTATATGTATAAGCTGAATATGCACTTATGGATTGTAGTAACTCTTAAAATTCAATTCGGTATCAAATCTTAGATATGTTTTACCACGCACCCTTGAAATGGCCTCCATAGGTCTTTTTTCCCTTTTTCTACTATTATCACTACAACTTCAAAACTCAACTGGAAGAATTACTTGTCTTGGTCTACCTTGGTAGAGTTGTGGTTCCTTGGTCAAGGATACTATGACCATTTAGAGATGGAAGTTAGTGTTGTTCCTACTAAAAATAAATCTTAGTGGCAAAAGATTGACTTTCAACTATGTGTTTTTTTATGGCAATCAGTTGAGTTTAATGCCTTAGAGATACTTGGATCGTTCAAGACATGTTTCTTTTTGTAAGAAAGCGCAAAATAATTTTGCTAATGATATCAAATGTCTCTTTGATGTAACTCAAAGAGTAGCTTCCCTCAAACAAACCAACCATGATATCATTAGCATGGGCCTCAGTCATAGAATTTAAAAAATTTCTAGTGGCTGACACATTGGAGAACATCTACAAAAATCTTGATAAGTTTTATATGGTGTTGGTTTTGAGAAGTTTATATTCAAATTTTGATCATGTATGTGATCAAATTTTAATTGGCGATCAAATCACTTCAATGAATAATTTAGTCACTAATCTTCTTCATGTACCAACCTTAGTGAAGGATGAAAATCCAAATTAAAGTTATTGAAATTTCAACAATGGTAGCACCTCTTGGAAGAGGAAGAGATCATATCAAGTGTACATATTGTAGATGTCTTCAATGTACATATTGTAAAAGAATGAGTCATACTTCAGAAAATTGCTACTCCTTACACAATATTCTTATTAAGGCAACCCATGTGTCTAAATTTGAAAAATCAAAATCAAATTTGTTGATGAGGAGTACCGAGAATATTTGAGACACAAATTTGAAAAATCCAATGGTCCAACCTAATCTTCTTTGGTGCCATGTGTTTCAACATCACATTTCTCAACTTGCAGAAGGTCATGGTCATTGATACTTGACTCACCAAAGCTTTTTTATGACTGTTTGGGTCACCTATGTTTGACAAAAATGATGGATCTTAGTCTCAACCGACTTAACATTTTAGACTATGAATCAATTAGGAAAACATTTTAGGTCATCATTTGCTAAACATTTGAAAAAAAGATGTAATTTGGTTTCTCTACCATTCACAGATATTTGGAACCAAGTCGTATCACCTCTTGAGTTTAGATATTTTGTAATATTTATTGATGAATTTTCTTTTAGGTCTATTTAATGAAAGATAAATCATAACTTTTATTCATATTCATGTCTTTCTTCAATGATGTTAAGAATCAATTTGAAAAGATAATTAAAATACTCCGAAATGAAAATGTTAAAGAATATTTCTTTGTTGAGTTTTCTTCCTTCTTGTCCTCCTAGGATATTTTACATTAGTACACATATCCTTACGCGCCACAAAAAAATGGAATAGCAAAGAGAAATAATAAACATCTCATTAAAATTGCACACTTCATAACGTTGAGTACAAATGTTTTAGTATATCTTTAGGGAGATATAGTCATCACTGCTTGTCTTTTAATCAATAAGATGTTGTTTTCCTCTTTTGAAAATAAATTTCGTTACTACTTTATTTTTCCAAATGACCCATTTTTCATGTCTCTCCATGATTGTTTGGTTGTATTTGTTTGTTCATAATGTTTTCCTAGGTTTAGACAAACTTTTTGCAAACGCTATTAAATGTCTCTATTTGGGATATTCTTGCATCAGAAAGGGGATAAGTGTTATTCTTCAACTAACAAAAGTATTATATGTCTATTAATGTTACCTTCTTTGAGGATACACCTTCCTTGAATATAAATTTAAGCCTAGTTTAGTCTTACAAAATTAACTTATAAGATAAGGTTTACACCCATTTATATGCTATAATTTGATTATATTTTCAGTCAATATGTAATCAACACACTTGTCACTCCAAGGACTAGACATCTCAAGCATGAGACTGGATATTTGTGAGTGGTCTGATAGTGGGTAGCATAATAGGCCGGACAACCTTGCTTAGAATGAGGGTTTAGGCCTAGCTCAATCCTACAAACTGACTTTTAAGGTGAGTTGGTTTGCACCCGCTTATATATTATAATTTGACCATATTTCTGATCTATATGAGATCTTCAACATGCTTTTTTTCTCATCATCCATGGAAACTCCTATATCCATTCATGAGGACTTCTCGGTTCAATCTTGTGACCCATTGATGATTCCAACTCCTTCTCACTCCTTCTAGGATGGAAATCATTCTCTCTCCCATACTCATAGTCCAATAGACATTGCCCTCACCACCTCCCCTTACATATCAATGTAGGACACAATGATCTTTCCTCCCTTTTCTGAAACACTTTGTGATTTAGATCCTCCTCCAATAGTTTTCCATACCATGGATCTATCGTTCTCAACATCTTCTCCTAACTCTAATTCAGATTGACCCATTATTCTTAGGAAATATATTCAATCTACTCATAATCGTTATTGTATTTAGAATTTTTTGAGTTATCATCATTTGTTCCTTTTATACTCCTCCTTTGTTTTTTCTATGTTTGCTTCTATTGTTCCTAACAATATCTATGAGACACCTGAACATATTTGATGGTGGCAAGTCATGATTAATGAAATGAAAGCTTTTACACATAATGACACGTGGAAAATTGTTGCTCTTCCCCTTGAGAAGAAATGGTTGGTTATAGATGAGTCTATGTTGTTAAGGTTGGGCCTATTGATGAGGTTGATTGCTTTAAATCTTGATTGGTAGCCAAGAGATGTACTTAGATTTATGGTCTCAACTACTATAATATTTTTTCTCCTGTAACTAAGATTAACACAATTTGGCTCTTCCTTGCCATGGTTGGTATATAATCGTTGGCCACTCCACATGTTTGACATTAAAAATGCATTTGTTTGTTGTGGTCTTGATGAGGAAATTTGTATGGAATAACCTCTTGAGTTTGTTGCTCAGGAGGAATATGGTGTAGTTTATAAATTACGTCAGTCTCTTTATAGCATGAAGCAATCACCCCAAGATTGGTTTGGTGAATTCAAACATTGTACATAATTTTTGGATTGAAATAGAGCATGACTGTTCATTCAATATTTTATTGTCATACTTCTCCTTGTAGTATGTTTATTTAATGGTCTATGTTGATGATATAATTGTTACAAGAAATTACACTACTAGGATTTCTCAACTAAAAGAACACTTATTCAACAATTTTTAGATCAAACTTGGCTATCTGAAATGCTTTCTTTGTATTGAAGTGGCTTAGTCAAAGGAAGGTATTGTTATTGCACAAAGAAAATGCTCTTGATATTTTGGAGGAGATAAGTTTAGCTAATTGATAGTCCTATCTAAAGAGATATAAGAGGTTGGTGGGAAACTCAATTATCTCCCTATTACAATACTTGATATTTCTTGTGGAGTTGGAATTATTAGTCAATTCATGTAGAATCCTCATAATGATTGTTGAAATGTAGTCATTCACATTCTTTAATATGTCAAAAGTGCTTTAGCACAATGATTGTTGTATGAGGGCAAGGGAAATACTCAAATTTTAGGGTATCGTAATACAAATTGGGTCGGGTGTTCTATTGAAAGAGATCCACCACATGATATTGGAGGGAAGATCATCTCTTCAAATAGCAAGAAACATAGTGTTAGTGCCTAATTCAGTGTGGAAGCTGAATATAGATCTATGATTTTGGCTATTAGGGAACTTGTGTGGATTAAATAATTATTTCAAGAGTCAATTTTGTCAAGTTATGTAAATGAAGTTGTATTATGATAATTTAACAATCTTTCATATAGTCTCCAATCTAGTGTATCACAAGAGAAGCAAACATATAGAGATTGATTATCATTTTGCTAGGGAAAAGCTGCTATCCAGGGATCTTAGTATTGAATTTATTGGCTCCAATGACTATTTTGCAAACATTTTAACTAAGTCTTTAAGAGGACCTAAGGTTCAATTTATATGTTTCATGCTGGACATGTACAATTGATATGTTCCAGCTTGAGAGGTAGTGTTAAATAGTTGTTTTATATTATTGTGCAGCTTGACAAAGCTGATTTTGGGTGTACCTAATATGGTTAGAGGTTGAAGCCTTCCTCTTAGTTTTGTACTTGTAATCTCCTCTTATGTGTGTGTGCGCGCACGCGCGCGTATATATCTCCTCCGTACATATACATTAACCGTAAATTTACATTAACTAAGTATGTACTCACTGATTTTAGTCACTCTTTAAATTCAATTAATACTATATAAAATATATAAAAAATTGAAAATAAAGGCTATATGCGATTTTAAAAATCAAGATTGTGAATGAGAAACATCAGAGTGATGGATTTGATGCAGCAAGGGTTTTTGGCTTTGTTCCCAAGCATAAGTAAATATAAGAAAATTATGATTGGCAAAATTTATCTGGTTGCCTAAAGCCCACTGTGGCATTGTTTTTATCATCTTCCATACCTATCCCTACTTGTCTGTTTGATTTGATTGGGGATTTGTGTCATTCACCTTCAATCCTTTACTTCTTCCATATCACTTATTTTTTCTTATTAATGATTTATGTGTCTTATGCATGTCACCCCTTAATATTTCAGGAAATGATATCAAGCCTGTATTTGATGTGGTGAATCCTCAACACAAGTGAGTTTTGGGAGAATTATGTTTCTGCTTTCTTTGGTATAACTACTGCAGATGTACAGGATACTTTGTCGTTCTTGATTTCAATGTTGTATGGTTCATGTTATTTTCATATCTATTCTCTGAATATGCATCGATTCTCCCACACTTTGTCTTAAAATTATTTTGAAACAATCTTCAATTTTTAAAAATCTTATTTATCTTATCAGCAGTTCCTTTGTACCTCTGTTTTTGGTTGTCTGATTGTCCTCTATATGCCCACACTTTGTTGTTTATCAGAGGTCCTTGGGGTGCGCTTTCACCTATTCCTGAGAATAATGCTCTTGCTGTTAACACTCAGGTTTGCAATTGCTTTTTACAGTTTGTTACAATAATTTGTTTGCTACTTCATGATTCAATTTGCGCCTATTTTTTTTTCTGTTTAATTGCAGGAGGGATCTGTTTTTGCTGCATCTGGTGATTCATGTGCATATTGTTGGGATGTGGTATGTATTCACGGAAGGTGAATATAATTCATGCATAGGTCGTTTCTTGGATAACTTGATTTATTGTTATACTTGTGTTATTGCTGAACTAACATGTGTTAAACTTTTCTAGGAAACTGGCAAAGTGAAAATGGTATTCAAGGGGCACATGGAGTATTTGCATTGTATAGTTGCACGCAACTCATCCAATCAGGTCTTCATTCTAGACCTTATTGTTTTTTGGATTTGATGGTAATTATTAACAAGAAGAAATAAACCCAAAGGGAAAGGAAGAATGGAGGTTGGATCCTTTTTAGGCACTGGCTTGAATTTTTTCGAGTAACTCCTAAATGACATGAAATAGTAACACCTATAGCTAAGATACATAACTAGGACTGTCAAAAGGGTGGTCTAACCCTACGGGTTAATTAAAAAAAATTGATGGCTCAACGAGACATATTTTAAAACAAACCATAATTTTTTGTGTAGCTTGATCCTGATAGGCCTAAGGACTAACTAACTAATTTTGGATTGATTGAAAATTTTTAAAAAGTTATTAACATGCCTATATCAAACCAATTAATTAAAATTAATGTTTAAATAAAATTACAAAAGAAAAAATATTTTTAAAATTGATGTTATAGTAATGAAATTAATTTTTATTTCAAATATCCGGAAAATTAGATTAAATGAAATCTGATTTTATTATTTTTCATACAAAGAGATTATACAAGATATATACAAGAGACCTAAGCTATTTTACGAAATATAATAACTCTATTTTATTCTAGGATCCCTTGATTTTTGAGATTGTTCCTAATTGTTCAAATCTGTACAAATTACAAGAAAATATACAAATTTCCTAATTTATTCTTTCCTAAAATACTATTTGATTTCCCACACTCCCCCTCAAGTTGGTAAATAGGTGTTTTCCATTCCTAGCTTGAATACAATCTTCTCAAAATTGTGGCAGCCCAGTTCCTTGGTAAGAATGTCTGCAATTTGGTCTTGAGAGGACACATATGGAGTGCATATCAAGCCACTATCAAGTTTTTCTTTGATGAAGTGTCTGTCTACTTCAATATGTTTTGTTTTGTCATGCTGCACTAGTTTGTGGGCTATGTTGATTGCTGACTTATTATCACAATAGAGCTTCATAGGTTCTTCCCATTTTATCCTCAAGTCTTCTAAGATGATTTTATTCAACTTTTGCTTTATCTCCTCTAATGAATCCACCTCTAGGAACTTCTTTAATTCTTCAACTGCTGATTGAGCTTCATCAATAAAGGTCATCATATCTTTATCCACTTGCTTGAGAGAGGCTAATCGATTAGCGGAATCATAGAGGCGTTGGATATCATTTGCGAAGATATTCTGAGCCTTTTTCCAGAAAGAATTACATGTTTTGAAGGATCTGAGAGTGTTCAAAATATTTGGTTCTACTGATTGCCGCAATAGAGCACAGAGTTGATAATCAAGTTTTTTCCATTGTTGAGCCTGATCTTCTGGTATCTTACTTCTGTTTTCTTCTAGATGATCGTGAAACTCTTGTCCAAGGAACCAAAGTTCCATTGAAGAGGACCAAGACATGTAATTTTTTCTATTTAATTTCTCAGCCGTTATAGTGGGAGTTCCAAAAGAGGAGGTTGTGGGCCCTGTTGACATGTTTTAAATAATGTAGATGTAAGATGGAGACAATGGAACCTGGAAGAATGAGAACACCCAAGATAGAATTAGATAGAAGTATCAATTTTCACTTTGCAAGAAAACTGACGAATGGCAGCAATGGACAACTGTAGTGGAACGAAGGCCGGAAGGTCACTGGAAGATAGTCGAAAATTCGTCGGACGGCAGCAAAAAAGTGACTGGACGGGGGCTGACGGTTGCCGGAAAGTTGCTGGGAAGTTGTCGGAAAGTGATTGGAAAGTTGCCGGAAAATGACCGCAAAAAGTGGTCGGACGGTGGCCAGAAAGACAGAGCAGGACCAACCTACTCTGATACCAAGTTAAGAGAGTAAAGAAAGTTAAAAGAGGATTTATAATTTAGTGAGATATTTTACTCCACTCTATGATCTCATATATATATGATTACAACATTTAAAACAACAATCACCAACTACTAACCACTAACCATTAACTAATAATAATTCTAACAAACACCAAACTGATTTTTTATCAAGGAGTGAAAGTTTAGGAAGACAGAAGTGACTTCTGATTTTTGTTTAAGTAGGAAAACCCAAGTGACCCTTGTACAATCATCTATAAAGGTGACAAACCATCGAGCACCAGACACATTTGGAACATTAGAAGGTCCCATACATCAGTATGAACAAGATAAAAAGAGAAATTGCTAATTTTATTACTTATTAGAAAATATACTCGCTTGTGCTTAGCAAGTTCACACACCTCACAATGAAGACTCTCAACATCTAACTTGGTAAACAGAGAAGGAAACATAATTTTGATCACTCCAAAAAGACACATTTGGAATATTAGAAGGTCCCATACATCAGTATGAACAAGATAAAAAGGGAAATTGCTAATTTTATTACTTATTAGAAAAGATACTCGTTTGTGCTTAGCAAGTTCACACACCTCACAATGAAGACTCTCAACATCTAACTTGGTAAACAGAGAGGGAAACATAATTTTGATCACTCCAAAAGAGAGATGTCCCAACCGACAATGATAAAGCATGATTTTTTCTCTGTTGGTCATCAAGGATTTAGATATGAAGGATTGAGAGATTTTATTCTTGTTGGACAGACTTGGATCTTCAAGATAATAAAGGTCATTCCATTCTCTAGTATGTCCAATCATCCTCCCTGAATCCTTGTCTTGAAATACACAATGATCTTTGAAAAAAATAACTTTACATGACAAATCCTTTATAAGTTTTTGTATAGAGATTAGGTTGGTGGACAACTTTGGGACATGGAGAGCATCTTCTAAGGTTATTAAAGGATTGATTTGGATATTTTCTTGACCAGCTGCAGTTATAAGGGTTCCATCAACTGTGGCAATTTTCTTGTTGTTGGGACATGTGGAGAAGTGTTTGGCTAATGGTGTCATGTGATCTGTAGCTCCAGAGTCCAATATCCAATAATGGTTAAAAGGTGTATATGAGACATTTAATCCAAAAGAAAGTGGAAACTTATCTGAGTATGCCACAGAACACACACCTGTAGGTTTTTCTAGCTTACTAAGAAAGGTTATCACCCTTCTTATCTCCTCTTGGTTAAGATGAGCAGAAGCTTCTGGATTATTTCCTTCATTTGTTTCAACAACAACATAAACTTGTCATCCTTTCCTTGAGGGGCCTCCTCTGTGTTCCCCCTCTCAGTCTCGATTTAAAGGCTTCCCATGTAACTTCCAGCACTTCTCTCGGGTATGATGAGGCTTATTGCAGTAGGGTACACCAGAGACCATCACCTTTCTTTTGTTCGGCTACCATGACCGAAGTTTGATCTCCTTTATGGTCAACCACCATTGCTGAGTTTTCTACTGCTGGACTCTCTAACATGAGACCCCTTGACATTATAGCAAGAAGGTGCGATGCAGCAGCAATGCAAGCTACCGTTTTAGGGTTAAGAATAATGCAGCAGCAATGCAAGCTGTCGTCTTAGGGTTTATAGTGTGCAGACAGAGCTTCCTAGATCGGAAGCTCGATACCATCCGGAAAATTAGATTAAATGAAATCTGATTTTATTATTTTTCATACAAAGAGATCATACAATATATATATATATATATATATAGGAGACCTAAGCTATTTTAGGAAATATAATAACTCTATTTTATTGTAGGATCCCTTGATTTATAAGATTGTTCCTAATTGTTCAAATCTGTACATATTACAAGGAAATATACAAATTTCGTAATTTATTCTTTCCTAAAATACTATTTGATTTCCCACAAAATATAATGATTTAATATATAAATTACAATAGAAAGTATCCATTGACTCCCAAAATAAGAGTTAAAAGCTTACTTTTCATTATTATAATTTATTCTTTTAGTAATCTAATGATATAAAATAGTAATTTGTCTTAATTACTAGATATATTTACTTTATTTTTAGAATTAGTGCATCCCTTATCAAATTAATTTATAATACATCTACATTTTTTAATGAAATAATATTACTTTTATTTTTATTTAAAAAATTATTATTTTATAAAATGAGCTGACACATAAGTCTACAGGCTAGTTTGCCTAAGCCCATGAAGGCTTATGACCTAAACGAGTTGGGTCAAAATATACCTAGTTCAATTTAGACCACAATTTTTTTTACCTACTTATTTATCTGGCCTTTTGGACTGACCTAGGCTAAGCTTATTTTGATATCTTCATACATGACTAAAACATTAAGACAAGAGTATGCTTTTTTAAAACTTGTTCACGAACATATAAGAAATAGAATGAGGCACACATCTGTTCATGTGCAATTAATATAAAAATTACAGATACAAAGAGTATAATGGTCCTAGTGGAGACAATGGTGTTACTATAAAGTAAAAGAGAGTGGAGACATTACATGGAGTTTATTATTTAAAATTACTTTTTAGTTTTTAATTTTTGCACTATACATGAACATGATGTTGTCTTTGTTACTGGTAAAGGTATATGTTAATACTTTCTGGATTATACAGTAGACATAGATAGGGCATTGGTTACATGTACCATATAAAAGCTGAAAAATACGCACAAGTGAAAAATGAATAACCGAACCTAACAAAATTCCCTGAACTGTTGAAGGGGAAATGAGATAAAAGAGAGATATATACTGTTGAAGAAACTATAGATCTTTTCTTCCGAAATAATTTTCAGTTTCTACAAAAAAATGTTAAAATTTTGCACTAGTAATAGATTTTAAGTTGCATTACTCGTCTGGCGCAAGAGAATATGTGGGTTAGTATTTTAAATTCCTGATTACAAAAGCATATTCTCTGTTGAAATTTCTCTTTTGCTTAGTGATCTTTTTGCCTTCCCACATTATGTCTAGGTTTATAACTGTTAGTTCTTTCTGAACAATGTTCAGATCATAACAGGTTCAGAGGATGGGACCACACGAATTTGGGGTATTGTTCATGTCAGCTCAAGTTACTGAAGTTGAACAAACTACATGAATCATATTACTTTCTATATAAATTTATTGGTTATTGAAATTTTATTGGGTAGTTAAGTTTTTGTGGCTTATTTACCATGTTTACTAGATTGCAAAAGTGGAAAGTGTACTCAAGTGATTGATCCAGTAAAACATTTGAAGTTAAAGGGATTTGCTTCATGGGTTGGTTGCGTTGCTTTAGATGCAAGTGAGAGCTGGTTGGTAAGAGCATATCTCTTAATAATTTCCTTGCCTTGCCTTTGTATTTTTGGTCTACACATGCTAATTTGGTAAAAGAAGTAAGAATTTTTAGACAAAATGTTGATTGCTTCTGGGGGTAACTATAGATGCAGTTGATGTGATGTTATGAGACAAGATATTAGACAAGCATTTCACTTTTAATTGGTTTTGTTCTTTTGAAAACCAAAGTAGTTACGCATGCAGTGCCTTGTTATTGATATATAGTTCATTAACAGTTAAGACTTAGATAACCATTATTTCTCAGGGTTGAGAATAGGGTGCTATGACGCTGTGGTGGAATGGCCCTTGCCCGTGATGGGTCTCCGTAGTGGCACAGTCCAGTGTTGTGGCTGTAGTGACCTCAATAGTGGCTGTAAACACCTTCCGAAAAAGTGTCACCATTCTCTGTCATGTGAAGCTTCTCTCTTGCATATCTCTCTGTCCCATCACTTCTGGTCATCTCTATAATCATGTATGTGGCCCATTTTACAGTTTTCTGACCTCTCCGCCTAGGTTCTTTAACTTCTGCCCTTGTTGCCCCTTTGTTTGCTGTTCTCGACAGTTTAGAATTGCAGAAGCAGTGGACACATTTTTTGTTTTTCTGAAACGAGATGTTTTGGTGGGGGCTTAACTCTGAGCAAGCGGCTAAGATTTCTTTTATACCTAGAATCAGAGGTGGTGCTGGGCCTGCACCCGCTCAAATCGGGCTACTTTATTTCCTAAATAGTCCTACAATTGGGGAAGGTGTTCTTTTGCTTAATACTATTATGAAATTATAAGATACTTTATAATGTGTATATATATATATACACACACACACACACATACACACATAAGTAATAGAATATTAAAAAAAAAAAATAGCAGTGTTTTTGGGGTCAGACACTATCTGGGATTTAAATCATTGTTATTTCTTATAATGATACATTTTCTTGTTCTCTGGAATTAAGTGTTATATGATGAATCTATGATTGTTGAAAAACTTTTTTATTTCATCAATACAAATAACATTTTTCTAGCCAGAAAAGCCTCACATTTTAACGTTGTCCTTTCTCTGTAGGCAAACTAGTAGAATGAACACATGTATGTTATTGAATAGGTGGTTGGTTTATAAATAGTTAATAAACCATTGTCAACTTTATTCAGGCTTGCGGTAGTGGACGTAATATATCAATTTGGAACCTTCCTGCTTCTGAATGCGTATCAATGATTCCAACGCGTGCTTGTGTACAGGACATGTTATTCGACAATAATCAAGTGAGTTGGTTATATCTCTATTTTCTCCTCAGTTGTTTCAAACATGGTCATACTATATGATCATGTAGAGAGACAGACAAGTTGTCAATGTCATGCTCCAGAAAGTTGAAGGTGTTTTATATCATCTTACACAAATATCTATGCTCACTATCATTAGCCACAAAAAAGGTCTTTATGTACATTATTGATTCCCTTTGTCTTCATTTTTTGGGTTCTTAATATCTTTCTAGCTGGACTACTGATAATTCTTTAAATTTCAGAAAAATTTTCATCTCAAGAGATCTTGGATTTCTCAGATTAATCGAAAGCGACTCTATATTATGTAGATGTAGACACTTTTTCCTCACCCATCTTGATTTATTCCATGATCCTTTTTCAGCTGTTGTTTTATTCAAATGTCATTAGTAATATATTTTTTTTAGTAATATTTTATCTTAGTGTTGCGTATCTGATGAACTGGAATGATGATGCTCTGGCAAAAAGATAAAGTATGCAATAGTGCCGTAAATTTAGTTCAGCACCTTGGTATATGTCTTCGTATTTGTGTTTGTTAGCTCCTACATTTTTCTGGTGAAAAATTGCATGTGTGTTTTGCTCTTGTCAATTGTATGTATTGCAATTACCATTCAGAATCTTTCACATGGAAATTGTTGGCCTCTCTGAATATTGAGTGACTCATTTGTTGTTTTTATAATTTCAGTAGCTCTTACGCAATTTGTAGCTCTGGTAATTCTTGTTAATCGTTTGTATTTTACTTTCAGATTTTGACAGTAGGTACAGATCCTCTACTAAATCGCTTTGACATGAACGGCACGATCCTTTCACAAATACAGTGTGCTCCTACGTCATCTTTTTCTATCTCCTTACATTCTGCAGGGGTATGTTCTTTTCAAAAGCGTTGCTATTGTGTTTAGTACCGTTGGTAATGATCAACTTAAACATGCTGATTGGCGCCTTGTTACTCCCTGTTTTATTTGATATATAGTTGCATTACTCTGTTATTCATTTCAGGTTATGGCAGTTGGAGGTTATGGTGGCCTTGTTGATGTTATCTCACAATTTGGTAGCCACATGTGCACATTTCACTGCCAGTGTGTCTAAGCAAAGTTCTCGAATAGTTTGAAAATTAATACCTCAAGACCAAAAGCCCAAATAATTTCTAAGTAAGATGGGATTATGATAGTGTTTGGACTAACATATTTTTAATTTTCCTCTCCTTAAAAGAAGAAACTAGGACATACACTCTTTATGTAGAAGTTAAATAAATAAAAAAGGTAGTTTAATTTTTTAAGAAGAAATCATGAGAACAAGAATCTTTTTAAGCAAAGGTGATTTGGTGGAGCTTCTTTACGTTGGATTCGAGGGCTGTCTACTTATGTTATATGTTTTTCTTTCTTTGTTGCATATTTATATTTTTTGTAGACCTATATTTTTCAATAGCAAAACATTACTAAAACAATTTTTGATAATTTAAAAATAAAGTGTTAATTATATGATTTTAATATTTTACGGAGAGTAACATTTTTATTTTATTTTTCATAAATGTACAATTTTATTGGAGATTGTGACTGTTTAAACAAAATTGAAGTTTTTAGTTTTCTTTTTTACCAAACGATTAGTATCTTAACAAATGGTTTCAAGGAAAAAAAACTGACAAATAACTTCTAGTTTTAGTTTTAAGCTCTTATTTTTATTTTAATAAAAGTAAATTTTAAGTAAAAAAAAACTGGCTAACCTTTTGTGCAGAATTGCAAGCTATCGAAGAATAACATTTGTAGTTTGGTTGAGTTAATTATGGATATCTTATAATTATGTGGATTTCCAGAAATATAAGTTTTTTTTTTCCTTGACTGTGTTAGAAATACGCTAGAAATGTTACAAATACGAAAAGCCTGGCTGACTGTGTTTTTGTTTTAAAATAATAAACTTCGTAGTCTTATGACTATCATTTAACCTCTTGGAAGTTTTTTACTTCCTGTGTTAACATCTAAAGTTCTTTATAGGAAAGAAGAGGCATGCGTGTGTTAACATCAATTTCTCTTCAAAATAATGTCTATCATGAATGAGTAATGCATTTGCTGCCTGTCTGTACAGACTTTCATTCTTCTCATAATTCATAAATATACCAATCTCAGATTGTTATCTGCTTCTTTTGTATGTTTCTGACGTTGGTATCTATGGAATCATCTATCTCTTGGATATGGGTTTTAAGTCTCCTCGTTTCTCTTTTCTTAATATGAGACAGTTATTTAAAAATTGTATTCTTTTCTTAACAGGAGGAGACAGTTCTCCAAAAATCGTATTCGTCTAATATTTTTCTAGCTTTGAGAGTTGTCTGTATATATGGTTTCCTCGTATTTGAGAGTCATCTTTGAGGAGTGGACATGTATGAATAATTTACAGAAGTAGAAAAATATTATCACACTTAAGCTTTAGCCGTGAAAATGGTATAAGAAAATTGATTTCCGTGGGAACATTATTTTGAAGTATAAATGGATAATTCTTTTTATTTTATATTTTAATTTTTTTTCCATGTAATTTCTAAAATAAAACCGTGAAATTGGGAGATTTCAATTTGAATGAGAACGTAGTTAATATAATGCATATAATTATAAATAAATTACACATTTTAAACTTTATTTTAGTTATAAGTTAAACTTAAATTTAGAATTCTACCTTCTTCTCTTTACAAATGAGATATTGTTTTGATATTATGTTTATTATGATAATCTTTTTAAAATTAATTATCACATATTTTAAGAAAAAAATTATGATAAATAAAAATTTTAAAATAAATAATACATGAAATGTGATAATGTATCCTAATGATGTTGTTTAATGGACATAAAATTGAAACATTCTTATTCTTAAAAAGAATATTAACATCCATTATGGGTCAAGTGCACCCCTTAATCCTTAATTAGGTAAGGGGTTATATTTTGGTACATTTATTATTATCATATCATTTAAGAGTCAGAATTAATGACAACTTATATACATTTTTTTTAATTAATCGAGACATATTTTAAAAGATAAAATCGTGATAAATTAGATTTTCAAAATAAATGTTCTTAATAAATCATAACAATAATATTATAATATACATAAGGTCATAATACTATCTAATTTATAGATAAAACATAATATATTTTTAATATTTATCTTTTTTATTATTATTATTATTATTATTATTATTATTATTATTATTATTATTATTATTATGTTCATAAAGTTAATATGACTAGTCTTATAAAATTTATATTTAAAATGTTTATGAAATGTTTAGTTTTTAAATTAAACCAGTATTTTTTATTATAATTCTTTATTTTATATTTAACACATTATTTTTTAAAATTTAAAACACCATTTTATATTATAATTTTTTGTTTTTATTAATGAGTATCAACGTTCTTCAAATTACATTAAATTTCTCAATTTTTATTATAATAAAATTATAAAATTTATTTTTAAATTTTTATTACAATTTTTTATGATCATTTATATATATTTTTTAATAATTTTCAAAACAAATTATTAAAATAATTTTATTTTTCAACTTATTTTTTAAAATTATCTCTAAATTATTTTTAAAAATTAAAAATTTAAATTAAATCAAACAAATCCTATATTCCTAAATGTTTATCCAAGTGAATTATTAGTTGGATATATTGGGTAGCTATGAAATTATTTGTAAATTTGATACAATAAATTTTACATTTTGAGATATTCAATCATTGATAAAATAAAAGTGGGAGATCCAGTAGTAACTAATACTAATAACTAAATAGTGTATTCAAATGGGAGATAATCCTCGGAAGTTAGATGTAAACGCAGCTTTTTTTATACTCTCACTTTTCCACATTTTTAGGACTCTGAAATACCAAATCTACCTCACCCTCTTCCCTTCTTATTTTCTTTTCATAATACAAAATCCACGTTAAGATTTTTGAAATGTATTTTTTTATGTAATATAATTGTATGGTTCTGTAATACAAAACTTACTTTCTGAAATTAAGAATACATTAGTAATAATGATAGATGAGTGAGCGGAAATAGATGTATTTATGGTTTAATTCGGTTGGATTTTAATTTAATGTAAAATTCTTCGACATATTTTACAAATGGTTAAATATTTTATGATAAAAAAATATGAAATAAAAAGACATATCACATAATTATTATTATTTTATTTATAATTTTAATTATTTTATATTTATAAATAAATTATACAATATTATTATTTAAAATTATTATAATATATTATATTGTAAATAAAATACAATCACATTATAAAACAATCTTTAAAAGATATAATGGCATGTATTTATTAAATAATAATTAATTCTGAATATATAATATTATATTTAAATATAATAAACTGTTTCAATTTTTAATTTTGTTGTTATAACAAAAATAAAAAAATTCCAAAAAGTAAAAAAAATAAAAATTGTTTAATTAACATCTGCCAACGAGAAGCGGCAAATGTTATGGGCTTGCGGAGGAGGGGGACAAACATTCGTATTTTTTGGGCTCAGCCCAAAGGAAAGAGGAAAAAATGTTGAGCAGGAGTTTGACCGTGGCGTTGACCGAGAGCACAGGGGCAAAATAGGAAGCATATAAAAGAGTAAAGCCGGGTATCATGTAGGAACCCTGGTTTTATTTAGTACTTCTCTCAAACTCACTGTCGCTCTCTCTGCACAGGCCACCTTCGTTATCTTTTCTCGACTCCGCGGCGTAGATCCGAGGAGTTCGGGAAACCCTAACTCTACTCCCTTCACAACACACACCTTCCCTTTTCCGTCTCCATCATCTCAATACCAAGGTTTCTCTGTCTTCCACTACCCAGTATCCAGCTTTTCTTTTACTTTAATAGCTGCTTCTCTCTCACAACACTATTTTTTTTTTATTTCTCCCTGCGCGCGTCATTTATTATCGTAAAACTGCGTTTTTATTTGGTTATTAATTGTCTGTGTTATGCTCCTTCGTCTTTCATTTACTTTATGTTTGATACCATGGTTTTGGAGTTAAGGGCCGCAATTTTATTCTTTCAAGGGATTGTACTGAACCACAGTTTTTACTGGTTCCTATTCTGTTCATAAGTTGTGTGGCGTTAACAGTTTTTGCTGTTTTTGCAGCCATGGCTGGACTTGCACCCGAGGGGTCACAGTTCGATGCTCGTCAGTATGATTCCAAAATGAATGACTTGTAAGATTTTTCTCTTTTCTTCTGCGTAGTTCTAAGAAATCTAGATTTATTTTTAGTCTAATTACTGTCTTTGTTATTGTTTTGTGTTGGGTATGATTGCAGTGGGATGTTAGTGTAACGTTATCTGTTGTATTTTTATTTTTTATTTTTTATTTTTTTTATTTCAGGCTTTCTTCTGATGGACAGGACTTCTTCACATCCTACGACGAGGTTTATGAAAGTTTTGATGCTATGGGACTGCAGGAGAATCTTCTCAGAGGAATTTACGCATATGGTAGTTTTAATATATGTTTCCTTTTATCCCTTCTCTTTACTGTGTTAAACCCCCAAATAAATGTTCTTCTTGGTGATTGCCATTGGTGTTTAGTTGTTGTTTTTTAAAAGAAGCCACTAATTTTGTCCTTGAACTATTACCTTCTCTCTTAATAGTCCCTAACGCAATAAAATTATTTAAGTAATCCTTGAAATATTGAATATATATCTGCTTACTCCCTAAGCTGATGCATTTCTATAGAGTTTAGGGACTAGTTTAAAGATTTTTGTATATTTAAGGGACTATTCATCAGTGATGTCGATTTTTAATACTTCTGGGACTACACAGGTACTTTTGTTTTACATTAAAAAAATATCATCAAGAGGGAAGTAATATTTTAAGATTCAAATTGGTAGTTTACACAACTTTTCAAAATATATGGTATCACCATAACACAAATACTGGGTTGTCTTACCATGATGTCTTATTTTATTAAACCATTGGTTTTTTGTTGTCCTGCTATTGTTTCTGCTTTGCAGTAAGTTCCGATCCTTAAACTAGTATGCCTTGTGCTTTAGGTTTTGAAAAGCCATCAGCCATTCAGCAAAGGGGAATAGTTCCCTTCATCAAGGGACTTGATGTTATTCAACAGGCTCAGTCCGGGACTGGGAAGACAGCTACTTTCTGCTCTGGTGTTCTGCAGCAACTTGACTATAGCTTGACGCAATGCCAGGCCTTGGTTTTAGCACCAACTCGAGAGCTTGCTCAGCAGATTGAAAAGGTTATGCGGGCACTTGGAGATTATCTGGGTGTGAAGGTTCATGCATGCGTGGGAGGCACCAGTGTGCGTGAAGACCAACGCATTCTATCTAGTGGTGTTCATGTCGTGGTTGGTACCCCTGGTCGTGTTTTTGATATGCTTCGTAGGCAATCACTTCAGCCAGATCACATCAAGATGTTTGTGTTGGATGAGGCTGATGAAATGCTTTCGCGAGGTTTTAAGGATCAGGTGCGACTCATTTTGCCTTTTCTCTTTACTGATATTTTATGTTGTTTTTTATGAGTAGTACCCACACATGTCTATGTACTTTTCTGATCCAGAAGTAACTTATGATGGAACATAAATTTAAATGTCTTTCATTTGACTCTTTTCTTAGCCTATTGGGTGTAACCGTTCTAACCTTTGGCACTTTTATTATCAGATTTATGATATATTTCAGCTGCTGCCATCGAAGATTCAAGTGGGAGTTTTCTCAGCCACAATGCCACCTGAGGCTCTTGAGATCACAAGGAAGTTTATGAACAAGCCTGTGAGAATCCTTGTGAAGCGTGATGAGCTTACCTTGGAGGGTATAAAGCAATTTTATGTCAATGTGGAGAGAGAGGAATGGAAGCTGGACACTCTCTGTGATCTTTACGAGACGTTAGCAATCACCCAGAGTGTCATATTTGTGAACACCAGAAGGAAAGTTGATTGGTTGACTGACAAAATGAGAGGCCGTGACCACACTGTTTCAGCAACCCATGGAGATATGGACCAGAATACAAGGGACATTATTATGCGTGAATTCCGTTCTGGTTCTTCCCGTGTCTTAATTACAACTGATCTTTTGGCCCGTGGTATTGATGTCCAACAAGTGTCTCTAGTTATAAATTATGATCTCCCTACACAGCCTGAGAACTATCTGCATCGTATTGGTCGTAGTGGGAGGTTTGGCAGGAAAGGTGTGGCCATCAACTTTGTCACAAAGGAAGACGATAAAATGCTGGTTGACATCCAGAAGTTTTATAACGTGGTAGTTGAGGAGCTGCCTTCAAATGTTGCCGAGCTCCTTTAATCAGATTTTGTCCTTCATCGTATTAGATGAAATTAGTTTGCGTTTTGGAAAATGTTATGTAATGTTTCATCCCCCCTCCTTTCTTGCTTAGCACCTTTGTTCTTAAACTTTGTTAAGTAGGCTTAGTATTTTAATTTAAATTATCGGTTATCTGAATATCAAAGTGATTATCACTTGCTATGTGGAAACCTTTGGCCCCATTGGTGTATTGATTGTCTTGGCACATTTTTACTAGGCAACTTTTCTAGTGTACGTTCTAATCTTACAAAAGTTTAGAATTAGTTGACGTTATTTCTTTTCAGGTTATGTTTGGATCTTCTGGGTTAAATTGAAAAATTAAATTACTATAATTGTAGTTTTGAATGTTTTATTGGATAGAATTATGCAAAGGATTTATGGTGAAGGGGGAAATAAATAATAGAAATATTCTGAACAATTAAGGTTGCTTGGAAGTGACGGAAATAAGAAAAAATAACTAAAAAAAATTGAGTTTCTTTGTGATACCCGTTCCCTTTCCAAGATGCCGAAATGTTGATATTATTAAATGATGCTCATTTTTATTTTATTTTATTTTTATTTTTTTTACCTTTGTTTACTTAATCTGAGGTTGATTTTATTTGAAGAGGATAATATACAAGTGTTTTATTTCATTAGTTTACAAACTAATCTTAACTTGTATGTCTCTTCCTATTTGAAGAGAATTTTATAAAAGCTTAGGGTGATGGAGGTGTTGCTACGCCACCTGATCCTTTATAAAAGTTTTGTTGAGTGAGTAAACACTCCCACTTATCATGCAAGTCACATTTTTTACACCAGAAAGAAAGAGGGAAATCTTAATGGTAAGGATAACAATTAGACTTATCATGCAATTGTCTATTCCTTTTATAGGTTTTTTTGGATATGCTCCTAATTTTATTATTGTCAGAGATTATTTATTCCTTTCTAAAACTTAAGTATATCATTTTTTATATTTTTACAAGTTTAATTACTGATAATAAATACATAATTTATAATATCTATTTAACATAGGAAATAATTTGTTATAAATTAAGAATAAAATATACAATTTTATTCTTAAATATGATAAAATGTAATGATTTTGCTTTTCAAAAGTTTGTCTATATAATTTTGTCTCTAAGTTTATTTAAAAAAAAAAAAGTAATGGATATTGAGAAGGAGACCCGACCAAAACTCACTTAAAATACAAAAAATAAATCAAAATGATTTTTATAAAATAATTAATTACAAAAAACCTATTATATAACATAAATAATAGATTATTTATTGGTAACTTCTAATAAATTAAATAATTATTTATTGGTAACTTCTAATAAATTAAATAATTATGTAATTAAATAAATAATTATTCATGTTATTATTATTCAATCATATATTCAATATAATTATTTTTTACTCATAAATATTTTATTTTAAATCGATACACATATTTATATGTTTTGTATCAGTTTTTAATTGATATTAATGATAATTTATATAATTTTTTTAACTTATGGACACACTTTTAAAAGATAAAATAACAATGAATCAGAATTTCAAATCAAATACTACTTTAAATATGATCCTCTTCAGTTTTTTGATCTTCAACCAAATTTTCATTTATAGTTTCCATCGCAGCTTGTACAAAATTAGCAGTTTCATTCTCCTCCTCAACCTCATCACTCCACAATATGCCAAAAGTTCTCAAATCCTCCTTGAGATGCATCTTCAAGCTTAGACATATATCATTGTCCTCACCTTCCAAAATGTTGGAGAATTGTGAGTGCTACCAACAAAATGCATCTTCAAAATCTCAGTCAACACAAGCTATATCTATCAAGAACTAAAACGAGCTTGTTAGAGTTTTTTTTTTTTTTTTCATTCTTGGAGCCTCCAAAAATAATTTTTTATTTATTTCAATAAATTTTTAAAATAACTTGTGAAAAACAATTATATAATATAATTTTACTTTATTTATTTTCTAATTATAAAAAAATATTAAATGCGTATATATATAAATAAAAACTCTTCATCAACCTTATAAAAGTATGGTGATTTTACTTTATTTTCTTCATGAATATCTTTTTCACCCTATTTGTAAACTTCAAAGTGGGTGTAACTAATAAAGTATAAGTATGGTATCACCATTAATTTTGATTCCATTTTTTTCTTTATTTTTCAAAAAATAATGCTTGGTTTTGTTCAATTTTGTAACTCCTTAATAATCAGTTTGAATATTTTTTTAATAAAATAAACTAAAATATTTATTTTTAAATTAAAAATAACTTATATACAAATAAAAAATAAATTAGAAAATTTTATAAAGATAGCTTATATAGATTAATTTGTAGATAAGTAATTAATTTGTGTAAATTTCTTAATAACCAAAATTTCAATTTTCATTTTAGTATATATTTTTTTCGGCAGAAATCAAGTTGGGAGACATGTACTGCTTTGTAAGATTTGCCTGAACACAAGTAGAAAGAAATTGGTATTTCTATTTTTATTGTCATGATTTGTTATTAAAAGCTAAGTATGAAGACCTATGTTTTGCTTGATTTGGTTGAACATGATTCAAGAAAAAAGTATAAATTATATTTTATAAGTTTAACTTAAGTTCTAAAGTACTTGAGAATTTTTAAATAGATCTCTAAATTAATTTTAATCCGTAATTTATTTAACTGTTAAATTATTTAGGGAGTCAAATAAAAAATAGGTTAAGAGTAGTCTACTTGAAAATTCTCAAATAATTTAAGAATAAAATAAGTAAATTATCATATTTTATACTATTTGGTTAATGAATTAAACAAAATGAAAAGTAAAAACTTAATTGGAGCTAGAACAATCTATAGATAGGAAAAAAATTCAAATTTATTTATTTGAGTCTTATTTTTTAATTAAATGGGAGAAAAATAATACTTTTTTTTGTTTTTTTTTTCTCATCTGAATGTTGAAAAAAAAAAGTTATTTCATTTTCTCATTAATCACAAAATATTAAATTGGCGGCAAAATAATTCAAAAACACAGTTTTTAAAGCTAATTTAGGTGATGTTTAGATAAATATTGCTATAAATATTTATAAAAACAAATAAATAAAATAGATAAAGTAAATTTAATTTATATATTATTAGTTCAAATCAATTTTTAGCAAATAAGTAAAGTTATTCTTACATGATGATGTAGGTAAAAGAGTTTTATGAATAATCTTAGTTGTAAGTTAATTTAAGAATGTTATATGAAAAAATTTAAAAAGAGCAACCCAATTAGGAGATAGGACAAAAACTCCCTATATGAACCAATCGTTTTGAAAATTTGATTTTTTTACATTTATTCTGAATTTTTTTAAATAGATAAATAAAAGGAAAAATATTGATATTATCTCATACGATAAGAAATATTATCTTTTAGATTAATTTAATTTAATTTAATTTTTATTTATAACCTGATATTTATTTTTTAATATCTATTCAAATACGAAGGTGTATTTAACTTGGGTTAAAAAAAATTGCATAAAAACCATTTAGATTTTAAAATATTTCGATAAAAATATAATAATTTATTAAATATTTTTAAAAGACTTTTATGATTAAGATTCTGTAATAAAAAAATAAAAAGGATTTTTTTATGAATTTATAACAATTTAGAATATTTTATATAACTTTTTAAAATGTATTTTAGTATTTTTAAAATTTTAATTAAATATTACATTTGGTTGTTTATTAGAAAATATATAGACAGTCTTGATTAAATAGTGTGAGGTTATTGTATGTTTACAAATCTTGATTGAATATTATAACATTTTCTATAAATAAAAATTTTAAATTTCTAATTGAATACATCCTTTATAATATTATATTAATTTAAATTATTTTTTTTATCGTGATCTTATTATTATTAAATGATAAATTAATATAAGAACATGATAAAAAAATAAATAAATTTGAAATTAATATAGACAAATCTTATATTAATTTATTTAATATATTTATTTGAGTATTAGTATATTGTTGACTAGGGTTTGGAAATGATTAAACATTTATGAATGCTTTTCTTAAATGTTTGAAAAAGATGTTTATTTTTTATTTTTTTTTGTTAACTAGATCAAAAGATACTCGTTAAACTTAGTGTTATTAATTTGAATACATAACCTTTCATACTTCTAGTATTATATGTATAAAACAAACTTAAAATACAATATCAACACACGCGGAATGGATAAGATGATTTTACTATTATTAGTTTAACTATAATTCAACCTAGTAAATTCTGATTCACAAAATGGATACGTGTGCTTTAATGTAAACTTGTATTAACAAAGTACCTTGTAGAAGAACCAAAATTGTTTTAGTATAGTGTATTTTTTAGAATAAATTAATGTGGTTAAGACCCACATCGACGAAGAAAAAGAAAAAAGAAAAAACATTTAAATAAGATAAGTGTTTGGATTGGTTTTACCTACGACATAAACTACATTGTAGGATACATGTTTTTATATTCATTTTAAAATCTTATATTTATAGTGAAACTAAGACTAGTTACTTCTGAATATTATATGTTGAAGTTTTAATTGATTTTCGTATTAAAATTCATATTTATAAGTTAGTCATTAGTTATTTGAAAGAGTTCCGTGTCCCTGTAATTATTTATCTTTCACTATATTATAACATTTTATATATATATATATATATATATATATATATATATATATATTTTATTCTAAAAGTTCTTATATAAATAATATAATTTAATAAATTATAAGATATTTTTCATCTTTTTTAAATTACATATAACTTTTTTTGAACTTTTAGTGATTATTTTACAAAAATGTATTTAAATATTAACTTGAGTATGTGGTAAAGTATAATTTTTTTTAATCTTTATTGTGCATATTGATTTTATTTCTTAACCATTTTAATTAATTTTTTTATGTGACTAAAGAACTTTACTTATATAATAAAATTTTGCATGAAATAGGTGTGAGGAAGTATTGAGAAATGAAACAAAATAAAAGCGACCGTTTGCAAGAGAACAGAGAAATAACACGCGTCAAACAACTTGGTTGTAGCTATTAAGAAATGGGCAGACTAAGGTTAATTTTCTTCAACAAGGTGTCAACAGAAAATTTTCTCATTCATTAAAATGAAAAAATAACAAAATTTAAAAATATAATTTTACTTTTGTAATTATTAATAAAAATATTTATAAAATAAAAAACTCTTCAATCAAATTTTTATTTTTTTCGTATAAATTATAGATGAGGAATAACATCTCATCACTTTCGAATATTTACGGGGAACAGTTAGATTCTTTTCTATCTTTAGGTATCACCACATTCCAGTGCAACAAACATCACCATCACACCATCTAACACTTTTCTTTTTTTTTTCTCTTCCATATTCTAATAACTCACTAACTATATATATTTTATATTACTATTATAGTTATGTCCCTCTACTAAATTAATATGATATCTCTTTATTAAAATATAATAAATAGTAAATCAATAATAAATTAATTTTAGAATACATTAATACTTGTATAAATTTTAATTTTTAATAATTTTGAAATATATTAAAAATTAGAAAGTGAAATAAAAAACACATTTAAGAAAAAAAAACTCTTACAGAAAACTATAATTATTTTCGTTATTTTTTCTATGATGTAAAGTGTTTTTAGATATTTTTCTTAACTTCATTGTTTTCAATAAGTCATTTTTAAGATTCTTAAAATAACAATTAAAAATAGCATTTATCATAATATAAATATAATTTATATGTTCAAAATATTTTAATTTAAAATTGTTAGAATGAATAGCTTTTATTATAATTTATATGTATATTAGAATTATTGTAATCTAATATATTATTAAAAATGATAGTAATACAAATTTCAGGAAATTTCAAGTTGACACTGGTCTTTGAACGGTAAACTCTTATATACAGAGATTTTGGTTCTCTTTGATTTTCATTATTATTAAAACAATTTTAGAAACCTGTTTGTTGAAGAATAAAACTTGCTCTTCTTCTTCTTCTTCCTCGGATGGCCAAGCCTGAGACTGTAGTCAACCATTCTACCATGCGTCGCAGACCCACAGCCAAGGCCACCTCCGTTGATGGCCTCTTCATTTCTCCTGAGTCCACCGACAGCTCTGGCGAAGACTTGATAAAGGATTCCGGTTCCGACGACTCCATCGACACCATGGACAGCGCCACAGCCTATTCACAACCACCCCAAAAACATGAGACTGAAACCTCCATCCTTGAATTCGCTTACCGTCCTTCTATCCCGGCTCACCGCAGAGTCAAGGAAAGTCCTCTCAGTTCCGACAGCATTTTCCGTCAGGTTCTCCCGCTTAACTTTTACCACATGGTTACTTAAACTTCAACTCTGAAACTAATTGAAAATAAACTGAACCGTTTTGCTCCCTTTCTGCGTAATAAACAACTCAAACATTATGTATGAGTCATGAATGGTCTTTGAGGTGTTTTGAATAGTGTGTAGTACAGCTGGTACCTGCTTGCACTTCATTTATGTGTACTAGACACTAGTGGTTATCAATTTATGATTTGAATTAAATGGAATTGGTGGATCAGTTTTTTCTACCTACTGTGTTTTGGTTTATAAACAGGTGCGATGATGTCTGTAATTTTTTTTGTTCACTAATTATTCAATCAGCTGCAGAGTCACGCGGGCCTCTTCAACCTCTGTATTGTAGTCCTTGTTGCAGTAAACAGCAGACTCATCATCGAGAATTTAATGAAGGTTTTACTCTTTCCTGATTAATTACCTGCAACAATTTTCTGTTTTCTATTTATGGCCTGGATTTTGATCTGTTTCTGTTTTTTATTGTCTCTCTTAAAGTGTGTTTTGTTTGTCGGTAGTATGGCTTGCTGATCAAGTCTGGCTTTTGGTTTAGTTCAAAGTCATTGAGAGACTGGCCCCTCTTCATGTGTTGGTAATGCCGTTGATGGATTCTCCTGAGAATAAACTATGCTCTGTGTAATTATTTTGAGGGTTGTTTTTTGAAATGTTTTGTAACAGTTAGTGATAATGCACATTTGCAGTCTTTCTCTTGTGGTATTTCCTTTTACTGCCTTTATAGTGGAGAAGTTGGCACAACGAAGGTGTATACCTGAACCAGTAAGTGATCAGGCCATGTGAGCTTTTATTAGATTTCATTTACTGTATAATCTGTCATATTTTCCAGATATGGTTAGTAGTAGTTTGCTATTTTTAATGGCATAATCTTCAACATTTTGTATACACAGGAATTTATAGCGACTTTAATGTGCAGGTTGTTGTTCTCCTTCATATAATCATTACCTCGACTTCACTTTTGTATCCAATTTTTGTGATTCTCAGGTCAGTTTGGTTATTTGGTAGATATCCTTCAAAATCTATACTAGGGCTGCAGTCGAGACTCCTTTTAATGGAAGTTGCTGTGAATCTTCTGCTTTCTTTATTATTTGTGAAAACAATCATTATATAGAATGACTGTAACAGAATTACAATCAAATAAAATAAGTTCTAACAAATCAATCTTATCAGTAAAACTAACTAACAAACTATTTGTTATCATATTAACAATATCAAAACAGATAAATCTTATCCTAATACCTTTTTTATTTTGACATTTGTTGTGATACAATCCATTTTGAAATTTGTTGTGATACAATCCATTTTGAAAGAATTTGCTTATAGAATATGAATTTAAGTTGATACTTCATAATGGTGTTACATAACAACCATTGTCACTATCCTGCTCTGAAAATTTAAAAACTTCATTATTTTTTAAAATTATTTGAGAAGAAATATAAAGCCAACCTTAGTTTAATGTTTAGGCCTTATGATGTTGGAATTGAATTACCTTGCAAATTATTATTGGCTTGATATATGAACATTGAGAAATAAATATGATTGCTGAGGTATAAAATAATTTTACGGTTGCACCTTAGTCATTTCAGATAAGGATATGGCAGACGGATTATTACTGATTTATAAGTTATAACATTTCTTTCCAGGTGTGATTCTGCTTTTATATCCGGTGTCGCGCTAATGCTATTTTCTTGCGTTGTGTGGTTAAAATTGGTGTCCTATGCACATACAAACTATGATATGAGAGAACTTACCAAATCAATTGAAAAGGTAATATAATACCCTTTGTTTGAATGCAGAGAAAATAAGGGAAAAGAAATTCTGAAAATTTGTTTCTTGAAGTCAACACGTCTCTATTTTGTTCTCTTTCAAGATTTTTTTTTCTTTTATTTTTCTTTTATATAATTTCTTCTTGACCAAACCTAGTCTCAAGCAATGTTGTCTCGAGAATTTATGTAGACTCACAAAGATCTATAAACTCGACTTGCAAAGAATTTGTGTTGTATAGAAAATATTAAAATTCCTATAAATAACCTAATAATTCAACCTTTTTATCTCATAATAAAGCAAAATAGTAAACATGAGTCTAGTAGTACAATACTATTAAATAAGTTCAAACTACACCAAAAGAAGACCTTACTCCTTAAATTTAGGAGTTGTTATTGATAACGGATTAAACCACTAACAACATAGTAACAGTTTCTTATCAATTTACTAATTGATCCTTCTTACCTTGGAGGCAGGAAATTCTTCCTCAAAAATTCAACATGTTGAATTACAGTGTCTTGGATAAGATATCAGTTGTTCTATTTTAGATGAGGATTTTCCAATTGAAATACTATTGCTTCCTTATCATGTGATTGGGCCTTGCCTATCACAACTTTCAAGTTCTTAGCCAGAGAAGTTAAACACTTTTCACCATGCTCTATTTTTGCAGCTTTCTCCTTTATTTAGTCTTCTTTTTTGGTGTAAGTTCCAAACAAGTTTTCTCATAGAGCATTTTCACTCAATTGCATCAGCTTGTTTGTGAGCTCTTGCACAATAACTTTAAATTTTTCTTCAGTAACACCACTTCTAACTTTTGCGATCGCTTCAATGGATTAACACCAAAGCTTTTTCCTCGGATTTTTACTTTGAGAATATATTTGTCATATGTATTTTTAATCAAACAACTTGTTTTTTCAAACAAAACTTTATAACCTTCCTCAACTTGTTGATCAATTTCAAGAAGATACAATACAACACATAAGAAATGAACTTTGTACCTTAGTAGGCTCATATTGCTACAATTTATTTTCCATTCGGAGCAATGTGCTTGCCATTTCATCTTGAACCTTCGACATGCTTGTGTTACTTAGTTCCTTGAATAGATCCTTGTTGTTTGTCATGTGGTTCATACAATCACTATCAATAAGCTAATTTTGATTTGATTCAATATTAGAGAAACATGTAGTAGCAAACAAGTATTTTTTCCTCCACTTGATCAATAGTTTTTGCCATATCACCATGTGTTTGATTCTTGTTCTTGCATAAAATAACTCCATGTCCCATTTGATTACACTCAATGCACTTAGCATTAGGTCTTCCCCGGAATTTAAATGGAGGGTGACCCATTTTTCCACAGTTTTGACAAGTTTGGTAATTTTTCCTTTTACTCTTGCTGTTCTTTAGTTGTTTCCAGACATTCCAACATCATGATGCTAAGTTGGTAATGCACCTTCAACATAAAAATTGAGCCACATAAACCTTCATTGCTCTTGTGCTTTTAAGGCATATAATACTTTAACCAAAGTGATCTTAGATTGATCCTCTATTGATGCTTCATATTGCCTGGGCACTATAACTTTTTTTCTGCAATTCTGGAATCAACAAATGTAGCACCCAATAATTTAACCTTGTTTGCAATGCTATGTAATTTGTCCATATTTGAGCCATGGTGGGGTTTTTAGGTAGCATATATCAAATTTCATCTTAAAATCAATTGGTCTTAAGTGAAGTTACCTAATAGGTATATAAGTCACACTCCAAGACTTGAGGAAGGCACCAACACACCCCTCCACAAATGTCTGTCAGAACAAGTGAGCCTATCAGAATAATATACAATTTACCAAGATGAGCTATAATCTTTAGTACCATGTCAAATTTCAACTCAAAACTAATTGTCAATAAACAAAGTTGTCTTACAAATATATAAACTGCACTCCTAGAAATGAGCAAGCCATGTGAGACTTCCCAACCCTCCCTTGCTCCTCCACATATACTTGTCAACCAAGTGAGCCTACCAGAATAAGTGCTTACCAAAATGAGTGTAGGCCTTGATAATCCTCTTCCAGACATTCCACAAATCCGAAGGATCTAGATAGGACTCCATTGTGACTGCCCAAAGGTCATAGTTCTTATCAAAGAAAGGAGGAGTAACTTGCAAGAAACTTCATTTAGCATCCATTTCCCAGGTCCTTCAGAAAGAGATCTCTAAGGCAAAATTGTTGGTTTTTGGTTGAGATAAAAAATGTTAGAAGAGAAAAGTAGTATAGAAGTAATGTGAATATTTTTTCATTTGGGAAATGCTGAAGCATATATTTTATTCAGTGTATCAGTGTATTTAAATATACTGAAAAAGTTCTTGCTCCATGATTTAGGAGTTGCTACTGCTAATGTGAAAACAAAATCAGAAACTATCTTAAAACAGACTTTGATACTGACAACATAAGAACAGATTCTTATCAATTAACTAATTGACTTATTCAAACTAAATTAAAACTGCTTTTGACAGCATCTAAGACACATTCGCAACAATTTAAATAACGAAGTAAGGTCAAATGTCCTCTTAGACTCTTAAAACAGTATACTAATTGTAAGTTTGTAGATAGTAATTACAAAATGTCATTTTATCTTATTTGTATACTTTAAAGATGACTCAAGTTTTATGATGCATTTGATGATTAGTTTTTAAACAGGAACATCGTGCTTGACTAAGGTGTAGCTTATAGATCACGTTCACTTAAGACTTCATTATATGCTAAAGTACAGTTTATTTCATCTTCATATAAATTATTTCCATCCTCATTCCAATTACTTCCATCATGTTTTCCCTTTGTTTACTTATATCTGGATTATTAACTCTTCACACTGTGAATGTGTGATACATAAACACTTGTTTTACCCCTTATTCAAACATGTTTCCTGTGTTACAGGGAGAAGCACTGCCCAATAATGTGAATATGGACTATCCTTACAGTGTGAGCTTCAAGAGCTTGGCATACTTCATGGTTGCTCCTACATTATGTTACCAGGTAGCAGCACTTTCAATTGATTTAGTTAATTTTTCGAAGCAATTTCTTTTAATTTGTAGTTGTTGTATAGTTGCCTCATTTGTATTCACCTATTTTACATTTGTATTCATTTTTGTCATATTAGATTGCTTATGGGCACAACTATCTGGACTTTACCAATATGTCTTTTGGGTGAAATATGTTTGAGGTTTGTAGTCAGTGTCAGACATGCTGTTGGGAATCAAGAAACAGAATATGAGAAAAAGAATGTTTCTTGTTCTGAATATTGAATATTGAACAGAGCAAATTCTCATAAAATTATCTTATTAACCCCCTCTAACTGAAAATCAAACTAATTGCTAACACTCCCCACTAATTTACACAGCTTTCCCATCTAACAAGAATAATTGATTCAGTGAGTTTTCTTTGTGATCACTTGATAGGGTTTCTCCGTAGGACTCTTTAATTATGGTCTTCAATACATGCTATACCTTTCAGCAAATGTCTTCATTTCTTATCCTGTCTTTCTTTTCCATGTTCAAATGTTGGTCACTGACCTTGTTCCTCTCACACTCAATACTCTTTTCTATTTCTTTGTCATGGCTATAGAAATCTAACATTTTGTAGCATCAAATATTGCATGACAAAATCTATGGCATAAATCCCAAATTCTTTCTCTATCTCACCCTATACTTCCACTTGTACAAAATTCCTAATGTACTTCCCCATTGAAATCTGCCAGTCAATAACTTCCTCACGTCCTTGTGAGAGAAAGATGATTAATTTCTGTTTGTCAATCTGCATATAATAGTGCTTGCTTCTCACTTTTATATGTTTAGAAGCCAACACTCTTTGATGGGAATGGGTATTATATGACTACCAGGCATAAACTGTAGCAAATATTTCTGGTGCTTTGTAATACTAGATTGGCTTGCACATCTTCATGTTTACCTAATTTGCCAAAATTTTGCTTGGGTGCTCGTTAAGTAGGTTTATACAGTTCACTTGTCTTTGCATTTTCCTGCACAGATGTATCTCTATGTGGATTGCACTTTTTAATTTTCTTTTAAGAGCAAAGTTTCTCACATTCTTACATGCATGAATGTTGTTTTATGAACTGCTGTTTTAGCAAAGCTATCCTCGCACTCCTTATATTCGAAAGGGTTGGGTGTTTCGTCAACTTGTGAAGCTGATAGTATTTACAGGAGTTATGGGATTTATTATAGAACAAGTAAGCAGTACCAGTTAATAATTTCTACATTTGCTCTCTTTATGTTGGCATTTTTTTTCTTGAGTTCTATTTTGTCATTTCTATAGGCATTCTGATGTTGTTTTGACTCCGAAATTTTGCAGTACATTAATCCTATTGTACAAAATTCACAGCATCCTTTCAAGGGAAACCTTCTTTATGCCATCGAGAGAGTTCTGAAGCTTTCTGTTCCAAATCTATATGTGTGGCTCTGCATGTTCTATTGCTTTTTTCACCTTTGGTATACCATCTCTTATTTTGTTCAACATGCATTTATGTGTGCATTTTTCATACAAGATATGAAGTTAACTTCACTTGCCATAATTTGAATAATTATTATTTTAATTTCTTGTGTTTAATGCCTTGACTTTTGTAACCTGGCAATTTTATGATGATGATGATGTTACTAGTCTGTAATTGATGAATCTTTCCAAGCATCCTTGTAGTAATATCTACCTTACTAAACACCGTCAATAGTAATTGCATTATCGGTGTTAAGATCTAGATGATTTTAAGTTGTGCATGTAGAGACAGTTATTCAGGATCATATACTTATTAAGATGTAAAATTAACTTTATAGCATATGGTGAGCCGCAAAGGGTCAATTTAAGTGAGATTCTGACGGATATAAGAGGGGATTTGAGAGCCTAGTTTTATATGGGTTTGTATATTTTCCATTGGCCAGTGAGGACACCAGTGAGGATACTTTACTCTTCATTTGTGCTCATTTTTTTCTCCTCTTTAATAGAACTAAAATAAGTATTCTTCAAAGAAATAGATTTTTTTGTGCAAGCATAAATGATGATCTGCTCGACTTATTTGTGGGTATTACAAAAGGTTCAGCTATGATTTTTTTTTTAAGATTTAGTTAATATCTGAGACAGCTTATCATTCAAGTGACTGTTGCAATGTAGGTTAAATATACTGGCAGAGCTTCTTCGATTTGGTGATCGCGAATTCTACAAGGACTGGTGGAATGCCAAAACTGTTGAAGATGTAAGTTATTTTTCCTGATTTAGATGTTTACTTACATTATTCTCAATCTTTCAAAGAGATTTGTGACTTATTGTCTTTGCTTTCTGTATTTGTGGTTTTGCCGCTTCTATCAGTATTGGAGAATGTGGAATATGGTACGTCTCTTTTTCAGACTGAATTTTGATAAACAGTTTTTTTTTTTTGTTCTATGAAAAACGATTTTTTGGTCTCCTGTTGTTGGGATGAAATTGATGTGAACACACACAAACATGGATATTTTATATAACATTCTCTTTATGTATTATGAGGGCTGACACCTCTGGCATTATTTTAACAAAAGGATGAAAGGGGAAGTTACAACTTTTTGCCATCTGTTACTGAATAAATGGTTCTAAATCTGTCTTTTAGAGAATATAGTTGATTGTTTATCGCCTTTAATTCTAAACCAATAGTATACAACTGAGAGTATTCTTTCACATTGCAGCCTGTTCACAAATGGATGATCCGCCACCTATATTTTCCGTGTTTAAGGCAGGGTATACCAAAGGTAATCGAGCATCCTCTTGTTACTGAATGGATCCTGAACTTATTTGGTCTAAACTCTAAATCACTTTTTAGGATATTGTCAGCCTTTGTAAACCATCTCAGGTTGCCAGTAAGATGTCACATTTAACATAATTGAAGTGAAATGAACATTTTACTTTTATCCTAATAAACACAGTTATGTAAAAACTTATCATAAATCTGTGTCAGAAGTTCTTTTAAAAGAAATAAGTATATGTTTTTATGGACTAACTTGTGTTTGATATGTCCGATGCACTGGAGAGGGGGTGCTATGTGTAGAAATTTTTCAATTGATAGAAAATAATTGAATTTTATCTATTGTTATTTTGGTTCAGATAAACTGACTTTGGAATGGTTCAGATAAACTGACTTTGGAATGCATAAACATGACTCACATGAACAAGAATTGCAAATGAACTCCATTAAAAAACATTTATATAATCATGATCAATATCTTTTGTGATCTTTTTCATGGTCTTTGGTATCAACAATATCTTAGTTGCTTCTCATTGGTCAATATTTGGTTTGATTCTTCTTTTGTCAAGCATTATTGGTAGTTTATTTGTATAAGTTCTAGATATATTTATGATTTTGATCTTTCATCATTGTACAGGCAGTGGCTCTTTTAATTGCGTTCCTGGTTTCTGCTTTATTCCATGAGGTGTGTTGCTCATCTCTTTGCATATTCTTCTCTCCTTTTTTTTGGTATTATGTCAAATTGTTGTTCTGCTTGAGGGCTAGTCTGCATGCTACACGCCAGAAGTCTGTGAAAGAAACGTGTTGTAATATTCTTGGAGTATCTATCTTATACTAAAATCTCAAGTACGTTATACCCTTTATCTTGCGTGGGTAAATATTTTAATGGACAGATAAATATTGTCACCGACTGTAGATATTAAAATTTATGTATCCCAATATTAATTTTGGCACCAAAATGACTTCAGATTTGCTCAGGCATGTTTCTTTTATCAATGAATCATTTTTTGTGTACATGTTGTAATTGTGTTTTCAACTCTTTAAGACAGAGAGTTGTGCAATTTTTCTTAAGATTTCTCTTTCTTCTGAGTGTAGCTGTGCATTGCTGTTCCTTGCCACATATTCAAACTATGGGCTTTTGGTGGAATTATGTTTCAGGTAAAATGAAGTAACCGTCCTACTGTTTTCTAACCTTCAATTCTTAGTACCACAAAGGTGAAGGCCAGACTATAAAGAAAATAGCCTGCTCTTTTATTGCCAAATGAAAGAAAGTATTATATGGAGTAAAGAATTTGTCACGTTTTGGAATAACTGTATTGTAATATCATCAATAATTGACATGATAATGAATATCTATTTTCTAGGTTCCTTTGGTCTTGATCACTCATTACCTGCAAAATAAATTCAGAAACTCAATGGTATGTATTTAAGGATATTGGTTCATAACGTCTTACAGTTCCATTATCCGGAATTTAATTCATTGTTTTGTTATGTTCTTCATGGCAGGTTGGAAATATGATTTTTTGGTTCATTTTCAGTATCCTAGGACAACCTATGTGCGTACTGCTCTACTATCATGACTTGATGAGTAGAAAAAACAAACATGACCAGAGCTAGTATTACATTATTAATTACAGTGCATGTGAATGAACTTCAGTTTTTAGACTGTAGATTTGACGTGGATATGTTGCTTAATATTGTTTTCTTCTAGTACTTTAATCTACCTTGGCAGTGGCTGCTCTGCTCTGAAGGATATTCACGTGATATGTCAGTTCTCCAGGCTAATTTATCTTGATCTATGTATTTATCCCCTCTCCTCTGACAATTGTATCTATATATGCGATTTTGAGAGCCATGCACTGGCATTGGTAATGGTAATAATGCCAAGGAACAACTGGAGTGTTAAATTTGTAGAGGAATAGACATAAATGGTTTGTGCTCAATATATTTATTTGTAGAGCAATGATGTACTCTAATATGACATTTGTTGACTGTATTAGCATGTTAAACTTAGCAGGATGTTTGGAATGTTCAAAAGGAATACTTTGGGACCAGGGGAAAACTTTATTATTACATTTTAATATTATTTGAAGTGGTTATTTTCAAATTATCCGAACAAGAATAGTTATTTTAAATTTAAAATCTCAAAATAAATTATCTCGAGATAAAAAGTATTTAGTCTATATCTATAACGTGGTTAACGGAATACTGTTAGATATATGATAATCAAATCATGAATAGTTAAATACAACATAGGTTTTGTGTGATTTAGAAACAATTGTCACCAGCGAAATCTAAGGGTAAAGTGGGTAACAATGAGGTATAAATTGGTATATTGGAAGAGCACATGATCCTGTTGGGACACTCAACCCAACAACCTAAGTGGTAAAATTCAACTACGGCGTGCATGTCACGTGACATTTATGGTGTGGCACGTCCTGATTGGCACCATGATCCATGTTGAAAGCCAAAACTCTTTTATTTTATTTTATTACAGATAAATGAATGAGCACCGACGCCAAAAAGGCATTGTAGTCAGCGCCCCAGCAGTAGTTGATTAATAAAACACAAAAATCATAGGTGAAATACAAACATGTTCTGGTCTGCCTAAGTTCTTGTTCACACAAAACACCCTTCCCTTCCTCTTCAATCGCTACCGACGATGGAAGACTTCAGATCCAAATCTTACGGCGACGGAAGGATGCAGATTGAGCCTTACCATGGAACCGGCATGCAAGATCTCCGTTGTTACAGCGCCTCCTACGCCTCTTCTGTGCACCCAACGCAAATCCAAACAGCTAACAACAACAACATCAACGATGCAAAGTTCAAAAAGGGAAAATCGACAAATGGGTCCACATCGAAAAGTTGGAGCTTCAGTGACCCCGAGTTACAGCGTAAAAAGAGGGTCGCTAGCTACAAGGTATATGCAGTTGAAGGAAAACTGAAAGGGTCCCTGAGGAAGAGTTTTAAGTGGCTCAAGGACAGATGTAACAGAGTTGTCTATGGCTGGTAACAACAACAACTTTTCTCAGTTGGGTGGGTGGGGTGTTTCATATCATATATAACAATAATTTATATTTTATATTATATAATTTTTAATTTATTTGCTGCTTAGTCTTTATGTCTGTGCCTGCTAAAGTACACAAAGAATGTAATATGGAAGAGAAATTGAGATTCTTGTCTTCATTTTAATCCATGCTGTAAAGAGTGCAATCTACTTGTTTGTTACTTTTTCTCAGTCTGTTTCCATAGTCTCTATAATTTGTACAAAATCAGTGGATCGATGTTCACTACTGTGCACCCTCACACTCGTTTTGGATTGAATCTCTAGAATAGAAGTGAATATGGTTCACTGATTTTCCTTACCCGATTGCTATTTTTCTATTTTTCCTCTTAGCGCAATTATGCATTTTTGAATGCTGGTAAGTGTATGAGCCTTCTTTGATGTAACTTTTAGTTTGAATTGCTTGAGTAGTTTACTTCCCAGAGTTTGATGCTGAATGGTGCTTATAGTCATAGAATTTTGTCAAGGCTTCTCATAAAAGTCTTCGGCATAGGGGATTTTTCATGTCACTGTTAATTGACACATGCATATTAAAGGAGTGTGGATTTGCAATAATATTTTGCTAAAAACCTACATCACTAGGACCTGGAGGAAAATTTTGACAGGTGAATTTGATTTGGTACTGAAGTGTTTTTTTTTATGCATGTTAATGTCTTATATTACCGACTTAAAAAAACAAATCTTTGTAAATTCTTATTGATTCTTCCATTATTTGCATAATTGTTTCTTGTGAGTACTTCTCTCTCTTGAAAAGTTATTCCTAATTAAACATCATGATTTACTAAGCAACCAGTGTATTAACCAAGTTATTGGACTTCTATAAGATTCCCTTAAATGACAAATACTCTCATAACTCTTCTTGTGTTGGGATTTTCACCAATGAAACCAACTAAATGATTTAGTTTCTAACCAATCAATGAAACAATCTCACAAATATGTAATGATAAAAAAATTCTATCTAAAATTTATTTAAAATTTAAATGTGGCCAAATCCCATACATGTGACACTCTCTTTGTGATTTGTCATAGAAATATCAAGTTTTATCCTCAAATTTGTTTTCAGAAGTGTTTTAGTGGATTTCTCGTTAAGTTGCAGGTCAATTTATGGCCTAATCACGGAGCTATTTAGTTTAACTCCTATCATCAAACACCAAATACCAAGTCGTTTTCTTCTCAATTATTTTATATATATTTATTTTTAAGTTGATGTCTCTAAATCTTATCACTCATCAATTTGGTTAGAAAAATAGTGGATTTCAACAAAATCAAACATAAATAAAAAATTATTTATAATCATTTCAACCTTTACCATATTTGTTCTTTATTCATCAATGATGTAGTAATCTACTTATTTTAAAGTAAAGAATATCTTTTGACGATTATCATAACTTTCTTGATTGATATATAATTTTTTTCCTCATCTTTGCCTGCACAGATTCACCATATTTAAACTTTATTTTTTATTTTATTGATTTGTCAATGGAGGTAAAATTGTTAGTGGTCATTTGACTGGTGTGTTGCAGTCAATGTCAATAAGTCAAGTATTAAAGATGTCAATAACTAAAGTATTCAACTTATGTAAATTGAATTCTTGTGATTTCACAAGTAAATGTATATGATCAATTTTATCTTTTTCAATCAATTGTTGCTACTCAAATTTCTTTCTTTAATTTACAATATTGTTTCTTGTGATCAAGTTAATAATAATTATAGTGAAAAGGTAGTTTAGTGTTGTACCATCAATCCTGTTTTAGTAGAATTGGTTCTCTTGCAGAATTGGTTCTCTTGCAATATGAAAAAGAATAAAAGCTTTTCTTTTCTTGAAGAACCTTCAGCTTCCTTTATTGATATCCTTAGAATGTTAACTTTCAAAATGTCATTCAATTCAATGTGTTTCACTTGAAAGATACCTTCAAAAACTTAATCACTTTCGTAGATGAAGTTTGCTTTTGGCTCTATAATTATGAGAGGTTGCAAATCAAAGTTTACAATTGCAGAGCTTCAGACTTTTTAGTTATTGAAGCGAGACTTTATTTTTTACAACAGTATAATATGTAAATGATATCTTATTCAAGAAATCACGTTTTATCTTCAACATCCATTTACATGATAAAATAATCTTTCACAATTTTATTATCATTCATCTTCATCCATATAAATGATTTTTATCCACTGTGAGCAGCCTAATCTTGTCAGTTATCTTAAATTTATCTTTGACAGTTCCACACCTGTTTCAGTGTTTTCAAGTCCATAATTTTGGTGAAAAGGGTTAAGTCGAGCAGAGGAATCAAGCAAGTGATAACTTTGCCTCTTTTTTTTTTTCAAATTCTTTTCCTCATAAGCTTTGATAGGAGGAATTTTATGATTTTCTCTTAATGACGGTAGAGATTATATAACATATCATAAACTTTGATATTTTGAAAAAAAAAATATATATATATATATCACTGTAGCAGTCTAAATGTGTTGATAGTTTTCATCATTAAACATTGGAATTACAATGTTAGCAGATATTTTTTACCACAACTGTTTGAAAATAAATCACTCAACTTTGAAAGTTTGCTATCAATCAAATTGTGTTAAGTTTTCAACCAATTTTTTGCCTCAATATGTAGAAACTATACGTTTTTAAACCACTACTAGAAATATTTTGTAAAATAATAAACAATTTTTTTTGAAACTTGTAAGGAAATAAAAAAAGAAAAATTGTTGGTAAGATTCATAAAAGATAATGTTTATGTATAGGTACAATTAATTTAAAATTTTTAATCAATATCATTTGACATTATATTTGAAAATTCACTAACTAATTAAATAAAATATAAAAGATAAAATCTACAACTATAAAAAAAAAAAAAATTTAAAAGAGGCAAAATCTTTTAACCAAAACTTTTTTTATTTGTGGGTGATTTTTTATTAACGATTTGAAGTCATAGTCTAATATTTCATGTCATGATGGCTTTTTCAACGTCAAGAATATTAAGATATTCTTTTTGTATCCATAATGTTCTTGCATTATCTTTTATTTATTTTGAATAGACTTTTTGAAAATAAAAAATAATTTCAAAAAACGTATTGATGAAAGAAAAATATGGGAATAGAAAGTCCAATCCATAATATTAAAAAGTAAGAAAAGAGTATTGGGCTATAAAGTGAGGAGAGTAATGTGTTAGGCTTTGTGGTCCTTAGAAGAGTGTGTTTGATGTAAAATGAATGAGTCTGGTAGTTATCAATAATATCAAGAATGTCAATTTTGAATGGTTGGTGATATGCTCTTGACATTTGCCTACCTCCATTTTGCTCATCTCTCATCTGATTTTTGTCTACCATTCAGTTGAGACCAAAATTAGTGACTGATTTGAAGATTAAGACGACAATTCACATCTAAATATAGACAGATGCTCAACAAACGTGAGGTGAGGCTTTACAATATTAACCTAATACTTCAAAAAGGTATCAAATTTTAATTACACCCCAATGGATGGAACATGTTTCTGCAAGTCGATAAGCATTACTCAATTTATTTCTTGTGCAAATCTTCTAAAGAATTGCTGGCTAACAAGGTCATACAGAAAACATTGAACCATTGCAAATGAACATCATGTTAATTTAGTATAGCCATATTTTAAATCACATAAAATTACATAGATAAGCATGATTGTCAGACTGGGTTGAGTTTACCATTTTAAATAGAGAAAACAAATTAACTAACTCAAACATTTTTTTCTAGATAAAGTTGGGTAGGCTCGTGCTTGTGCAAATTCAGATATAACAATTACGCATATAAATAATTTCAAACCGAATTAACTAATGGTCTTAAAAGAGTTTACCAGAGAAACTAGATTAACTGTCAAACTTCCAGATAAAGTTGGAAAGGCATGCTCATGAATTCTTGACTCAAGAAAATCTATCCAAGATAGTGAATCTAAAATATAACTTTTGCCTCCATATGAAAGTATGGTTTATGCCTCCCACCCCACTACTAAAGTGTAACATTTTACTCCTGAGTACACAAATTGATCAATCCCTCACCGTTGTTCATTTTTGGTCACCCTTCTTTAATCATAACAATGCCAATGAACTTAACATCTAGGGCATATTATTGTCACTCCAAATTGATAATAAAACACCTTTTTAGAAATTTATTTTTTGATGAAAATATCCTTAACATTTGACACTCCCACAGCACAATGCTCTGTTATATGTATTTTCACTGATATATTCCTTAATAATACAATATTATTTTTTTATGTATTTCGCTAAAATCTGGTCAAAATACTTAATAAAAAAAACATGGTTTTATTGTATTTCTTCACAATAAAATTATTTCTACTATATATTTTGACAAGGATTTATTGTGATACTCAACGATAATTTTTCAGAAAATATTTTCAATATACATTTTTATTTTTAGTTTTTGTTAAGAGAGTGTCAAATGTTAGATATTTTCATCAAAAACAATTTTCAGTATCAATTTGAAGATGACAATAGCAATGCCTTAACGTTCATCGCATAAACAATAAGAATGAATTATTGTTTAAAATGAAATGTTTTCTAGTCAAACCTCTGTATACTTCTGACATGCGATATTCAATGCTAGCATAGTTTGCGCACTTTTTAGAGTAGTTTGTAACATTTTAATATGTTAAAATGTTAGTAGTTTCAACATTTTTATTAGTGCATATGCACCTTATATTTAGAATCAAATCAATGGATTACCATTCATATGTACAAGCATGTGAGTTGGTATGTTTCTTTTAGCAATTTTTAAAATAATCAAACTGTTCACAAAACATGCCTACGAAATGTTATGAAAGCATAGAGTTTATTTAATTCTGTAGTTTGCACCCAGGATGTAGAATTGGCTAAGCAGTTTTGTTTCAAGAAAAAAAAAAAAACAAATAGGAGTACATTACAATTCAATTTAGTGAAAACCTTTTTCACAGATCAAAACAAAATACATACAGTATTGTGATTTAAACTTTTGTAGAAACCTCTCAAGTAATAAGAACAATCAAGTTCCTAGACCAAAATAATTGCCAGACAATTACATCGTGGAAACCAGGGGGAATCTTATACCAAAAAGAGTACAATGGCTAATTACACTTTTCGCTGGTATTTGATAGTTGACATTTGTAATCCACGTGAAACTGTAAAAGATCTGGTAAACCAATATAATAACTCACAGAAAAATATGTTATTAAAACTTAGTTGTTCCAGCCAGAAGTGCCAATTAAAACTGAGCTTTTACAGCAAGCACAATCCCTGGTTTAGCTCAAATTATTTCAGCTTCTCAGCTTCATCGATTTGAGCAGATGAGTTAACAATACAAAGCCAGAATTTCAAGTTCATATCCAAATTTCCTCACAGCTCAACTTAGCAACATAAGCAACTTTGGCAGTGCCTATCAATTCACAAATTCACTAGGTGAGATATCAATAATGGGTCCTCTCATCATTCTCTAATTGCAAACCTTCCATGCCTCTAAGTGCAGAGTCATAATTTTTCACATGAGAAGCGTTTCTCCCCGATGATACAACTCTCTTGGCATCAGAAGATCCAATTGGTGAACTTCTTTGCCCACTCAAACCTCTGTGTGCTACTCCAGGGCTAGCTTCAGCAGTGCGAGCACGAATATCTGACTCGGTACCAACAAATGCATCACGGGTACCAGAAACAGCAACCCGCCTTGATGATCCACTTGACTGACCCAAGGCATTGGCAGTTGATAACTGCATGGTCATAGATAAGGCAATTATAGAGTGGACAAAAGTAAAGCTAAAAGTTGAAAAAAAGTAAAGCTAACTTTGATTGAACATTCTCTAGCATCAAATCACATCACATGATTTTTGAAACGGAACCACATGTAAACCATGTCAAGAGACCAAAACAAGTCAACCATGTCCCCTGAAAAACTCAGAACAACATCCTTAGTGACAGTTGTGGGTGATTGAATTTTTTGGCTGAAACTTACAGTATTTAAAATGGGTCCTGAGATTCTGCGCCTTGAGGAATCCACTGAAACCATAGCAGGAGGCCGCCCGTCTTCCCCTCCTATGAGACAAAAAACATAGAAAACCACCGTACAGATCAAATCATAATTTAGAAGCCATTAAAAAGAAAAAATATTTCAAAACCTAAATCAATATTGAAAGAACGAAATTAAGTAAAAAAATCAATAATTTCTAAAGAATGAATGAAGAGAATATTATTTAAACTAGGAAAATATCAGAAAAGAAAGAAAGTGGTCATTTTTTACACTATACAAGAAAAGCAGAGTTAAATGAACATAAAGGAACATACACGTAAGAAATAAATTTACTGAACTACAATGTGATACAGGAATACACAGATCAAAATATGAAAGTGATCTTGTATAAACTACCTGTATGCCTATCAGCATTTGTAACAGCTGGGGGCATTCCAGAACTAGTTCCAGCACTAGGACCCTAAATAAAACAAGTATCAGGAAGTTTCATCAATTGCAGAATGACAAAAAATCCAAAGGGGGGAATAAGATAACAACTTACAATGGCCCGCGTTGGAGGAGTGGCTAGCTGTGATTGCTGATACTTCAAAATGGTCCAATCAAAGACATAATCAAACTGGAATCCTGTTCAAATACTTACTTGATAAGAAAAGAAAATGCAAAAAATGATCTTTTTTTATTGAAAAGCAAAATATAAAAGGAAGTAAACTTCAGAAGTAGAAGCAAAAGGAATCCTTTTATAAATATAATAATCACAAACCTTCACGAATAAAAAGGTCCCGAAATATCCTTTTGAGGTAAGCATAATCTGGCTTATCATCAAACCTTAATGACCGGCAGTAATGGAAGTAAGATGCAAATTCTGTTGGATAGCCACGGCACAAGGCCTGGAATAAGCAATGAATTCTCAGCGTGATTCATGAAAAGGCACATATATGTGAATCAGAGAAAGAATTGTAATTTAACTTACTTCAATAGATGTAGAAACCTTCTTTTCACTAATCTTCTCGTACTTCTGTTTCTTCGTTCCTGCTTTAAGTCCTTGCCAAGGAAGACTACAAAGAAAACGGAAATCAGAAAAAGTTTACAGTTGTGGTAGCCACCAGACTAGGGTAGACAGCAACAATCACCTTCCTCTCAAGAAGTACATCAAAACATAACCAAGAGACTCAAGATCATCTCTTCTGCTTTGCTCTAAGCATCAATCACCACAGAAGTAGAAGCAACATGTATCTATTAGATAACAAAATTTAACCATTTATTATTCAAATGTTAGTTAAGAATCATGAAGTAAACATACCAATGCCAAGGTGAGTATTCATGCTAGCATATCTTGCAGTTCCAGTCAAATTCTTATTTTCCCTGCATTATTAATGATTGAACATATCTCAAAATAAATAGATATTCAAACAGTGGTACTCTGTTTTTAGAGCATTTGCTCAAATATTGATAATATTACTTATGAGTCACATCAGAGCCTAGAAACCAGAAACTAGAATGCAAAAATAGTATAGATAATTGATGCACTTCTCACCACACAAGAAATGATATCATCGCAAGAGAAGTCATCAACAAAAAAGAGAGGGGTGCAAGGAGATGACAAGTGTATGCAAGTGTAAGTAAACTATTTGGTCGATGGCAATGATTTGCATGCTGGGGCAGGACCATATTTACAGGATTGTACTGAGATAATCTAAAGACTATAACTCGACAAGGTATTTTTTTCATGTAACAACTTTCTTATTTACAGTTTCCTTACTATTGATTCATGCGTTTTAGCAGCCAGACATTATTCTTGTACGGAAGAGACAGCAACCCTCCCAAGAATAAAAGAATTCATAATCTTATTAATAAGCGAATTCAGAATTGAGTATTTTGAGGTGGTAAATAAGAATTATGTTAGAAAACTTCAAAAACAATACTATGTATCCTTCCTCCCCAACTATTTTAATTACAGTTCACAGTCAAATAGGGTTTGCTGCATTAAACAAAATTAACCAAACAATATCTGGCACTAAACTAGTTCAATACCAAATTATAGATAAAACTACCACCCATGAAATAAATTCAAATTCAGATAGATTTTAACAATAAGTTTAAACTCAAAACATGTCTGAACTTGTTTTAATCATGCCATCTAAAATCCTAGAACATTCAAATTCCCAGCAGAGCTGCAGCATGAAGTTACAAAGAAATTAAATAAAGATTGGCAAAAGTGAATGCCCAGAAAAATACCAACAAGTACCAACACATTATATCTGCAACATGACAGCTATCAAAAAGGGTGCTAAGTGATAACGCAAACTTTGTTTGATTAACATATACCCTCCCTGATCTTTTTTATTTTCTTAATATGGCAGCTGCTCGGGATATGACAACTTAGCAAGTTAGAACTACATCACAGGGTAACCGTAATTCAAATTAAGATATATTTAACAATGCCATCAAGGCCTGGCATTACAGTGGTAATCAACTAGGTCCTACATAAGTACTAAATTTAATGCATGTCAATTAAATCTTCGTACCTGTAAGGAATATGTTGATGTGTTGAACTATCTCTGTATTTCTTAGCCAAACCAAAATCAATAGCATAAACCTACAAGCAGCTCAATGCATTGAATACCTCCATATATATAAAGAACAAACAAGATATCCAAAATCTAGATTTTAACAATATTAGTCACCTGGTTTGCTCGCCTTCCTAATCCCATTAGAAAATTATCTGGTTTGATATCTCGATGGAGAAATGATTTAGAATGAATGAACTCAACCCGGTTGATCTGGATCATTAAAAAAAATTAATTTACAAAAAAACAAAAGTTTACAAAATTAACAATGGTCTACCATTTGATCAGCAAGCATGAGAACTGTTTTTAGTGATAGCTTTCTACTACAGAAGTTAAACAGATCTTCAAGACTGGGTCCAAGCAGATCCATCACTAAAACATTGTAATCTCCCTCGACTCCAAACCATCTGACATTTGGGATTCCAGCTATACCAAAAACAACCTTGGGTTACAGCTAGATATGAATATTAAAGACAGGGGGAGGCAAAATTATGCTCCTTGCAGCAAATGCAAACAAAAAAAATAAAAATGCAACAATTAATATAAGAATGGTCCTTACTTCCTCCCTGTAGAATTCTGTACAGCTTGGACTCATAGAGCAACTGAGGATGCTTTGTCTTGACATTTTCCTAATTTAAAAGCACAGCAAGAATCAGAAATAAAGAACGAGTAAATAAGCTCTAGGGCACTTGAAGATATCAAGAATCCAGTGAATGCTTAATAAAAATAAATTCCAAATATTAGCACCAAAGTTCAAGTTGAAACACCAGCTTAAAAGGTTACAAGAAAAAAGTTTCCAAGACACAATGTAAATTGTTAAGCCATATTAGTATGAAATCACAATGCTTCGAAATTCCAATCCATTCTCCAACCTAAAACATTTAAAATAATACATCACCTATCTTGAATTGGAAGTGAAATGACAATATTTTGGTAAGAAGCGGGAGAATTTGATTGAATAAACAAGAAACGTTCAGTTCTTATTTAACACCCCACCCCCTCTCTCCCAATCTTTTTCAGCTAACTTCTTCACCAGTATCTATCGAAGAAGATAATACAAGAACCATTGTTATTTTTGCACTACATCCAGGCATCAATATAGTACCTCTCAATAAACATTGTACATGTCAACAGAGCATATTACATATAGAACCCACGTACAACCTACCAGTTAGCACAATTATATCTCTGAAACATGATAAAATTTCCCGAAAGTTTTGTGCTGGCTAAAGATTCCCTGTCACAACCCTACTCCTGCTTAAACGTTTTCTTACACCCTAGCATCTCTTGAAAGCTTTAAAATTGAAAGAGCCATTTCTAAACGCCAAACGTCTTTCACAGGCATAATCAAAGAGATCACTCTGTCACCCTCCAAGAAATAAGAAGCAAGAATAAGCTCAGTGTGATACTAAACGTCTAGAATACAATCATACACCAAATGCATTGAGAATGCCAGACAAAACTATAACTCCAAACCGAATTTTGCAATTCAAAGCAGGAACCATGTCTACTGAAACCCATCCTTTTCAAAAACTCATTTCAAAATTCAGATAAATTCACCAGAAATTAGACCGCATGAATAAAACTCAAAATTTGTCCTCCATTTCAGACTTCAAAGTGACAAGACGATAAAAAACAAAACGAAAATAAAAATATCAGGGTACAAAAGAGGGGGTAGCTTAAACAGGAATAAAATCCGAAACCAATAGATGAAGAAGACTCACAAGCTTAATTGCGACCTCTTCGTTTGTTTGAATATTAGTACCTGCAAGAGAAACAACCGAACTCGTAAAACATAGCGAAATTAAAAAAAAAAAAAAAAAAAAAGTGCAGAAAAAAAGAGCGTGACAAAAAAACACCTAAATAGATCTCCCCAAAAGAGCCGCTTCCGATCTTCCGACCCAGGCGAAACTTATTCCCAACACGAGGTTCCATTCAAAGTGACAAAGTTGGGAACCCTAAGCGAGACGCAGCCAAAGGAAGCAATCAACCAACCCACCCACCCCTAATCCTAAAAAGGGAAAATACTAAGTGTCATACATAGCGAAGAGCCAGAAGTGGAATTCCCGAATGCACGAAAAAGGTAGAAGAAGGAAGAGATCGATCTACGCTAGGGTGAGGAAATTGGGGTAATTGCGATTTTTTGTGTTAATGGGATTTGGGGGCATAATTGTAGGGTTAGGTTAAAAAGGAAGAGAGAATTTGGAAGAAAAGAAAAGAAGAAAGCGTAAGAGTGATGATGGATTGGAATTGGATATGATACGGTGCGGTGTTTGTGTTTCTCTCTCTCTTGCATTATGCAATGGAAACACCGTTTTTGCAACCGTCGGTTATTTTTTGTTTGGCTTCAGACTCCAATGCCATTTCCACGCGTGTTGTTTACGCGTGGCGCTACTTCCTTCGCTGTAGATAGTGGTGGGACACACGCTGTGGGACCCACTGTCACGTGACTTATCCATCATCCGCTATCCTCATTCGCCGTAATCCACACGTGATCCAATTGCGCGTTCTAACTCCGTCACTTTCCCCTTAACTCAATCATTTTTCGCGATTTGGAGGTATATTTTTCAGTAACAATATTTATCTTACAATACTAACTCTAGGAAAATATATCTCTAAATCCTAAGTCTTTATTTGTAAATATATGTATATATACAAACAATTTTAGTAGAATTATATATATATATACATATATTAATAAATAAATAATTAAATTATTTTTTAAAAATATTACTAATGTTCCAACTTAATGTTTATAATTTATTATTTTTACATTTTTTTCTCTATTCATTAATAAAAAATATTAAAATTTATTAGGGATAGATAAGAAATTTAGATATGAAGTTATATATAAAATAAATGTATTATAAAAATATTAATAATTTATTCTATGATGTAAGGAATGTTAAATAATCACCTTTTTCTATATTTTTTTATAATAATGTTATTCTTTATTTATAGAAATGATAGTGATATTTATAAGTGGAAAATTATACTATAATATCTATTTGGTTAATTTTTAATTAATTTATTAAAAATAAAACTCAAAAATTTATTGCACCAAAAATAAAACATATTTTATATAAATAATTGTAAAATAGGTTATGAATCTTTTTTAATTATAAATATTTGACCTTTTTATTCTATTTAATATAAAATTTTAATTGATACTTGTCAACCATTTTTCCTTTCAAATATGATTATCTTTCGAAGTAAATCATTTGTTTTTTGCAAAAATATATTTTAACCACAAGTACGATTTTATTTATATTTATATTGTCATTTAACCCAAAATTTTAACTTGTGTTTGCAAGAGAGATTTAATTAATTCCAAGAAATTCAAATATAAAATAAACTATGTTAAATATTTTATTTGAATAAAACAATTCAAATATCTTATATAATTTTCTTAGATAAAATAATTAAATTTATTCTAAAATATTTTTCTTTAAAATATAAATTCTAATATTAAACTTTATGAAAAAAATCATATTATTCAATTTTAAGTATTTAATGATTTAAAAAATAAATATAAATATTTTTTTACAATCACTTTTATAAATAAATATAATATTAAATTACTAATTATTTCATTCAATAATGATAATTTACGAACTTAATTGTTCAATTATTAGAATATTTTTTATTCTTACCAATCCACCTCCACCTCTTTAAATATAAAGTTTAAAAAAACATGTTGTTAACTCCTAATTGTTCAAATTAGAAACATGATGTTTATCTAAATAATTGTTATGATATCATTGTATTATCCCATAACCATATAAACTACACAAATAGCAACAATCATCGTTATCTTCTTTAATTCTTCTCTTTTACATTTTCTTAAAATAATTGCATTGTCAACATGCTAGCATTCATATCTTCTTAAGCCACACTCATATGAATACAATCTCTTTCTAATGAGAGGAAGATGTGTTAGTTAAAATAGTTTTCATGCATTCATAATTTAATTACAGAAAACTATTTTATAGGATCTTAAAATTTATGATTCTCACATATTCACATAAATTATGATAGGGAAATATTAACCTTATTAATGAAAAATCTAAAGAAAGCAGTTTTTTAGTCTGACACTATACGTTTTTTAACTTCTTTTTTAAAGATAAAGTATTTCAATTCCATATACTTAACATCTTTAGAATATTTGTCGTTTTTAGAAAAAAAAAGATTATTGTGAAATTATCACAATAAATTTTCAATGGTTTGACAATGTTGTTAACTAATTAAAGTCCTGAAATAAAATTTTACAATCAATTAACATGAATGGTGGCATCAAAGTATGTCACAAATTCAACTTCCATAGTGAATGTAACAATGACGAATTGTTTCACACTTTTCCATGAAATTACTCCTATAATTAAAAGATACACATGATCAAATGTAGACTTTCTTGTATCTATACAACCGTCAAAGTCTGAATCTCTATCAAATTACCTCAAGATAATAAGATTTCTTATAAGTAAGCATGTGATTTTGTGTTCATTCTAAGTATATTAATACTTTCTTTGAATCTTTCTAATGATCTAGTTAACATATGCTTTTTGAGACAATTAACTTTCCTTATTTATCACAAATTATTTTTATACTTATCACATAGTATGTCTCACTCATATCTTTCATTTCAAATTTATTAGACATAAACTTCTTAGTCTTAATTAATAGACCAAGATCATTTAGTCGCAAGTAAGGTATCATCAATATACAAAATCAGAAATATAAACTCGCTCCCAGAGTAACCTTCAAATATATACACCAATCAACAGTATTTTTCTTAAATCTAAAGGATAGAATCATATAATTGAACTTGAGATACCATTGTCGAGAAGTTTATTTAAGTCTATATATTGATTTCTTAAGTTTACACATCATTATTTCTCTCCTTTTTTTAATGAATCCCCGATTGGTCCATATAAATATCCTCCTCTAAATCCTCGTTCAAAAAAGTAATGTTAACATTCATTTGATGCAACTCAAGATCATAATAATAAACTATTAATATTATGATAATACTAAAAAATCTTTCTTAGAAATAAGCAAACATGTTTTTGTATAGTCAATGTCATCTTTTTAAGTAAAATCTTTGGCAACAAGTTGAACCTTGCAACGTTCAATATTGTTATGAGATTCAGACTTAGTGTTAAAGACCCATTTAGACCTAAATCTTTTGTATCCTTCTGGCAATACCACAAGGTCTTATACATTATTTTGTGTCATTGATTTAAGCTTATCTTTCATAGCATTTAACAACTTATCAAAATTATCCCTATTAATGGCTTATGAAAATGGAACTGGTCATTATCAATATTTAAGTCATTTTCTTATTCTTATAGATAAACTACAGAATCATTTGAAATAACAAATTTTCTTTCTTTGTGAGATCTTAATACTATTTCTTGTGGTTGTTCCACTACCAGCTTATTGTTAACCTCAAGATCATTAATTTGTTGTTATTCTTAATTGTTGTGTACAGTGGCGGATCTTGACCATTAATCTTGGAGGGGCCAAATAATATATTATTAATAAATAATAAACAAATATAAAATGAAGTAAGAAGATGAAAGGTGAAAAAATAAAATTGTAAATATATACTTAAATATATTAAATGATTATTAAGTTTGAGGGGGACAAAATCATAAATTATATGAGAGTAACAAAACTGAGGAGGGGCTGTGAGGATAAAATTGTAAATATACAAGTAAATATATTAAATATTTATTAAGTTTGGGGACTAAAATCATAAATTACATGGGAGTTACAAAACTTTGGAGGGACCACGGTTCCCCTCATCTCCCAAGAAGATCCGCCACTGGTTGTGTGATTCTACAACATTGGAAACAATATTTTTTGAAAAAGAAGTACTAGTTACAGGAACTTGTACTCTAATTTCCTTAATTTCCATGTTTCTTGAAACTTCACTCTAATTTATTTCATTATTCGCAGTGAACTGAGTATTTTCAGTTTCAACAATTCTTGTATTATGAGTAAGACAATAAAACATATATCCTTTTGATTTCTCTAAATAACCAATGAAATATTCATTGATTGTTCTTGCATCCAATTTATTTTCTTGTGGATTATATATTCTTACTTTTGTCTAACATCATCAAACATGCAAGTGGCTCAAACTAGGCTTCCTACTTAACAAAAACTCAAAATGAGTCTTTTAAATAACTTTACTAGGAATCTTGTTCAACAAATACATGACAATCTTGAAATCATACATATACAACAATACAAGTAAACATGAATTACTTAACATGCTCATAATCATATTCATTAAGGCTCGATTACGTCTTTCTGACACACTATTTTGTTGTAGTACGTTTGACATTATGTATTGAGCACAAATATCATATTTCTTCATGAACTTAGCAAATGGATCAGGGTGTTGTCCACTTTCATCACATTAGAAACATGAGTCATATATTCAAAATCAATCCACCAAGTATTATGTGAAACATCACTTAAGTTTGATTCAAAACATACATAAGCATTATGTTGACATTTCTTTTCGAACAAAGTTTTAACTTTTAGGCAGTCATTATGGAAAAGTCCAGACTTCCTACAGAAATGACACTTGTCATTTTTCTTCTGGATTTTAGTAGAGGGTTCATCAATCTTTAATGGTCATTTACCATTTTCATGTTTCTTAACAACTTTCTTCCCAGTTCATTGATTTCTCACATAATGAATATAGTGGCTTCCCAAGTTCTTGAGTTTGGTCTCCTCCTGAACTAATATATTGTGTAATTCATGCACATTTGATTTGTTTTTTATGGTGTTATATTTCATTTGGAATAGACCATACTCAGACGATAACAAGTTCAAAATGAAATGCACAAGAAAAAATTCATCCATTATTATTCTAAGAGACTTGGGTCTTGTTACGATGTTTGTCATATCGATTATGTGGT